GTGGTTGACTTGATGGATCCAAGGCGTGTGCTGGTGCCAGAGCTGGGGAAAGGAGTGCGAGTTTTGCGAAGGAAATTATCGCAGGAGCGACAACATCAGCAGCAAAAGAACCCAGTTCCGATAGCTACGTAAACACGGGAGAAACAGAAGCAGAGTTCTCAGCCGTCGCAATCGCTTTGCAAGCAGTCGCAAAAACTAGTTTAGAAATTACCCGCGCAAGACCCAATGTTGTCTGTTTCGGCCCCAGCGAAAGGAAATCCCAGCCGAGAATTCAGCCTGCCCGAGATTCTGCGGTGGGAGGGGGAAGTTTTTGCGAAGGGCGCCGGGCAGCAGACCGAAGGGACTTCTGCGATGAAATTGTCTGGCAATGTTACATTTTGCGCGGATGATAGGGTGGGGTTTGCGCAACCAGCACGAGCGGTTGCGGAAAGGTTTGATGGAGAAGTGCGCGACGAAGATAAGTTGTGCATTCACGAGCTTATGGGGAAAATCACAGGGGAATACGGAGGTGTCGAAGTGGGAGCCGCGAAGGTGGAAACAGCGGAGCGTGTGGAATGCGATGGTCAATTTGGCTCCGTGTCCAATCATATCGTTCCTTCGTCTTTTACACCGTTACCAGCACCAGAAGCAGTCAACTCGGCTTCGCCAAATGTTCGTCGAAAAAGGCCACCTCCTCCTCCCCCACTGGTCGATGTGGCCAACGTGGCATGTGCTGCTTTTGCTGATATGTGTACATCGGAAGGTGGTGTCTCATCCTGTTTTCCGAGGCCCAGTTCGGCAGCCACGGAAGAAAGATGGAAAAAAAATGGAAGCTTCGAAATGAAGCTTCCAATCGCAATATTGAGGGCTGTACATTGCGGGTTGTAGGGTTAATTTTTTTAAAACCGAGGCGTAGATGTTATACAGCAGCGACGCGAACACCACCTAAAATTGATTGCGTGCCGTCTTCTGTCCTTATTCCCCCCTCCCTGGCGGAAAGCTTCCGCCCTAGTGAGACGGAATAAAAAAAGGATTCTTCTCCAACACAAGAATCACGATTTTGATTCCACCAACAACCCTTCGACGGGAAGGGTTATCCGCACAAACGGCCTTCTCCAATATAGTACGGGCCCTACTTCAAGAAATTTGATCGTAGGGTTTCCCCTATAGCGTGGGGCGCCCACCCCTTTTTTTTGTTTGGGGCGAGCCTATCTGTTCCCACTACAGTGCCCTGGGGCATTCGAATTTGAGGGCAAATGTGCCTGGACCTGCGGCGTTTTTTCCTATCTCCCCCCTCCAACCTGCACCTGCTCCCCCATGGCGCAGGTTGTCCGCGGTGCGGTCAAACCAGGGTCAAAATTCGTTGACCCTGGGTTGACGCCCGCCTCACCTTCCCCTTATGTTCCTAACATTTTGCTTCTCCCTGGCTGCCGAACTGAGCCCGAATGAACTGGTAACAGCAGTAATAGCAGCAGCAGGAGGGACAGAAGCAGCAGTAACACCTCCAGCTCAAGCATCAGCTGCTGCATCCATAGCAGCAACAACAGAGCTACCATGCCCCACACCTACAGGCTGGGGAACTAACCAATGGAACCGGTTCCTCCCTGCCGAACCACCCATACCTTCAGGCATGGGGCATACTGCTGCATCCATGGTTTGTGCTGGAGGCGATGCTCCTGGCGGAAGTGGTGCTGGTGGTGCTGATGGCAGTGGCGGTTACGGTGGCAATGGTAGTGGATTTGCCTGTCTGTGGTTAGAGGCATGGACAGAGGGGTTCAATGTGGATCTGGCTGGTTTTACTGACAACCCTGCCTCGTGACAATCCTGCCTGGTTTGACTGATGGCAATAAGAGCTGGGTTCAACAATGCTCTCAATACATGCAACTCCCCACTTTTATGGTCTACTGTTTTTTCACATCTCAATAACGTTGATAATTCGCTAACAACTCCATTTGTATTACACAACCCGGTTCTCCACTGATTTACTGCAATGACGACCTACATCAGATTGAATGCCTAGCAGAGCCATTCTAATAATTTGGGGTTTAGGGTTTAGCAGTGTAGAATCTATCATAGAGAAGAGAGAATTGTAACACGATGGTGGAACAATTCGCGAAAGTGACCTCGCTAATTCGCCGGTCCAGTTTCTCCACATGCCCCCACCGCGGAGAGTTTTGCTCAAACCCGCGGAATCGCAGTTCGTTTTATTATCGCCACGTGGCATGCCTTCGATCGCGGGAACCGCGATCTGTTTTATTGTTCCCACAAAGTTCAAGAGAAATTTAGTTAAGTTTTGTATTGCGCTGCCCACGGGCAAAAATATAACCCATTCGGGCCTGGCATGCGTTAGGGAGGCATCATCCCTAAACACCTTGCATCTAGGTGTTTAGGGTTGATGCATCCCTAACGCATGCCAGGCCCGAATGGGTTTTATTTTTGCCCGCGGGCAGCGCAGTACATGTGATCCACTAAGTCTAACTAGATTTCTCTTGAAATTTGTGGGAACAATATAGCAAATCACGGTTCCCGAGATCATAGGCATGCCACTTGGCGAAAATAAAACGAACCTCGATTCCGCGGGTTTGAGCAAAACTCTCCCCACCGCGGTTGTCGGTGACTGGCGGCGAGGCGATGCGCATTGCACACCAAAGCAATAATGTCGCGCCTCGAGACGAGAGCATTCCCCCTTCAACCTAGCACCAATAATTTCGCAAGCTACACCACCGCAAATTCTCCCAGGCAGAGGCACGGATTCTTCATCAATACTGCTAACAATAATTGCTCACTCAGGACTCTCAACACCAATAATTGCGCCAAATGCTTTGCCAAGCCGTTAGAAGAGACGTCGCCATGATTCGCGCCGTATCTTCCGTTCCCCTCGCCTCGCAGGCCTTTACCCCACCCATATCGGGCTCCATCCCAATTATAAAAGCCAGGTCACAGTGCTTCATCACCATCCAGCGCGCCCGATTGATATTCAAAGGTCCGAGATTCATTCTTTGTTAACGGTCGCTTTTCGCGGGGACTTCTCACTATCCGCCAAGCATAAATTTTCCCGATAGCACAAAGGAAGTAGTATGGCTCGCTTCTCTGTGTTCTTGACTCTCGCGGTTCTCGTCGCTTTCATCCTCGCACTTTCCTATTGCTCGCCTGCAGACGGCCGATTGGTTATCCCGTTAAGAGGTAAGCACCCAATCTCTCATGAGTGTTTGAAGCTTCTGTGACTACTATTGGCGTACGCCGCACTTTATGATGACAGCACGATGTGCATGCTCCACAAAGCCTAGTCCAGAAACTCGCAGAATTGTGATTTCAGCTTCTGCTTTCTGTGCACCTGGCAGGTACTGTGACGAAGACTGCATTCACGCGGACGACCAGAGGAATGAGGCGGCTGCTGGATGAGGATGATGATGACCATCATGACAGAGACGACGACGATAACGACCATGACGACAGCCCCAGTGGCCTGAGCAAATGCGTGGTGGAGTATAAGCGTGCGGTGCAGTGGTGCATGGTGAAACCGATGAAGGACGATTGTGGCAAGCAGGCTTATAAGGCGTACGAGGAGTGCAAGAGCAGGACCTGATCTTGCAAGGGGAGGGTGGTGAGGAGAAGGGAAGCAGCAGAAGAAATAAAGGGCAGCAGCACATCAGAGTGATGCGGAGCTGTAGATGCCAGTGTTCAGCTGTGGAGGTCGCTTGATGCATCATAATAGCAATAACAGAGGCAGTGGTCACTCTGCTTTGTGAAATTGCAAAAATATTGACTAAACATGCTTGGAAACTTGCCACTGGTCACTTCGATGGTCAAGCCAACTCTAATGTCCCTGATCTCCTCCTGTGACACTCCCTTGATTTCAATCACGCAATGATGAACAATTGCCATGAACATTAAAAAGACCGAGGAAGAGTAAAGGTACAGTACACCCCTTATGATACTCAGAAGCCCCCTATTTCCTCCAGTGACAATCCCTTTGTTTCAGTCACGCAACAATAAATGAATGTAGTGGACATCAAGCACACCAAGCCAAAGAAAAGGTACACTCCGCCGACCCCAACCATAGCTGTCGCCGGCAGAAAAAAACATCCAACGAAAAAGTTGCACACCTGAAAACAAAATGAACAGAACAAAAAGAACGCGGCAAAGAAAAGCCTCTCAGAACAAACAAACAGCCGGGCAGAGTCAAAAAAAAAAAAAAAAAAAAAAAAAAACCAACTGCCCCTACCCAGTTTACGGCCATGCTGAACGCCACCCCTGCAGCTCGCACTTGCAAGGGGAATATCTCCGGAAGCAACAGGCTGGGAATGGGGCCCACTCCACAGGAGAATGCTGTCACATACCTGTCAATATGTCAGGATGGAAACATATAATAACTCATATTTAGTCAAGAAGACGGTTGTAACGATGGAGAATGGAAATGTATTGGTCCTGGTAAGGAGTTCAGGCATGCTACGGGGCATGATGGCATTGGGAACATGCCATGCCATGGTGCATACTGTTAGAAACTACATTCACGTATCTTCATCTTTGCACCATTTCCTGCTTGCTTTCCCTTGAACTTTGGTAGTATCCACGAGTTGGTGTTCAGAAAAGATAGAGCAGAACAAATGCAAGAGCCTTACGTGATTGTGCCGATAACAGAGAGAAGTGGCGCACGGGGTTGCAGGAGAGGCAAGGACAGGACCGCCGAGAGAAACAGCATGGAGCAACCCTGAAGCTTGCTCATCCACGGGTGGGGTGGGAGCTCAATGGAGCATACCAGGGGGGGGAGGAGAGGGGAGGGGAGGGGAGAGAAGTGGCGCACGGGGTTGCAGGAGAGGCAAGGACAGGACTGTTGAGAGAAACAGCATGGAGCAACCCTGAAGCATGCTCATCCACGGGTGGGGTGGGAGCACCATAGAGCATATTGGGGAAGGGAGGGAGGGAAGGTGAGAGAAGTGGCGCATGGGGTTGCAGGAGAGGCAAGGAGAGGACTGCTGAGGAAATCGGCATGAAGCATCCCTGCAGTGCAGAACGCTCATCTATGGGTTGGTTGGGATCTCAATGGAGCATACCAGGGGAGGGCAGGGAAGGGGAGGGGAGGGGAGGGGAGGGGAGGGGAGGGGAGGGGAGGGGAGGGGAGGGGAGGGGAGGGGAGGGGAGGGGAGGGGAGGGGAGGGGAGGGGAGGGGAGGGGAGGGCGAAGAAGTGGCATTGCACTGCACTGGACGGCACTCCCACCTCTTTGAACTGCATCGAAGCATACTGTGTTTCCGTACCATGCCAAGGAAGGAGAGCAGCAGAAGGGGCTTTCTCCCTGCAGAGTCAACGAGACGAGCAGCCAGCAGCACAGCTGGTGGGATGGAGGGAACGAGAGAAGCAAGCGAGATAAGAGGAACGAGAGAACGGAGGAGAAGCAGATGGGAGAGACACTGGAGGCGACGAGGCTATTTTTAGAGAAAAAAACAAAAACAAAAACAAAAACAAAAACCGAAAACGTTCTGAACACTGAGAGCTTGAGCATCGGCGATCATGGTAGCGATGCGAAAGGCAGCGATGCGAAAGGAGAAACTACTTTTGAGGCACCTCAAAAGTCATCGGCGATCAGGGTACAGGCAGCGATGCGAAAGGAGAAACTAGCAGAGTGAAATTATGGTCATGGGAGGGGAAACGTATGCCAGGGAAGGGCCACACGTACCTGGGAGCTTGAAGAGTGCGATGGGGGCAGAGACGGAGATTCCCGAAGAGAAGCCAGCAGAGCGAAAGACGTGAGAAGAGAAGTAGATGGGAGGGACATGGGAGGCGAAGCGGCTAGTAGATAGATAGTGTTACCTGAGAGCTTGAAGAGTGCAATCAGGGCTGAAACAGCGATGCCTGAGGAGAAGCCGGCAGAGCGGAAGACGTGAGAGGAGAAGTAGACGACCGCGTTGATGCCTGAGAACTGCTGCAGGGCGAAGAGTGCGGAGCCTAGGAGGAGCACTGTGTGAGGGGATTGGGAAGAAGCGATAGCGACATGAGGGGGAAAGGGAGATGCAAGGAGAAGTAGACAACAGCGTTGATTCCTGAGAACTGCTGCAGGGCAAAGAGCACTGAGCCTAGGAGCAGCACTGCGAGAGGGTGGGCAGGGAGTGGGAGAAGGGAGGGGGGAAATAAAAGAGAAAGTGAAGGCACCTAAGGACATGCATGTAAAAAAAGTAGACAAGGGTGTTCATGCCCTAGAACTGCTGCAGTGCGAAGAGCGTGGAGCCTAGGAGCAGGAATGGGTGGAAGAAGCAAGACGAGGGGGAGAGGGAACATAAGGAGAAGTAGACAACAGCGTTGATTCCTGAGAACTGCTGCAGGGCGAAGAGCGCGGCACCTATGAACAGAACTGGAGGTGGGAAGGGGGAGGGAAGGGGGAAGCGGGAGGGAGGAGGGAAAGGGGAGGCAGGTGGTGGGGGAAGTAGGGAATGGTTTGGGCGAGCTGAAATAGAGGGCTGTGAGCAGGAAACCTCCTTCCCACCCCTCACCTCTTCCTCCCAAACCCCTCATCTCTTCCCCATTCCCTCACCTCCTCCCCATTCCCTTACCTCCTCCCCACACCACCTCACCTCGTCGGTATTTTGGATGAAAGAGAGAGGCAGCAGGGGGCGGAGCAGAATCGTTGCTGCTGAGCAAAGGCGTGTGCAGGGTGGTGGTGTTGGCGCCTGTTGCATGATGAGCAGTAGCAGCAGCAGCAGCTGGTGATGAGGTCTGCTGCTGCTGCTGTTCATTCAGCTGATGCAATGCTGACTGCGATGCTAGCACTGATGCTGAGGAGTATGGCTGGGAAGGCTTCAGTGCTTCATGTGGTGCCACGTTCGCTGGTTCTTGTGGTGGTTGTGCTGACGTCAGTGCTGCTGGTTGTGCTGACGTGAGCTCCTGTAGCACCTCTTCCGCCCCCTCTGTTCCTCTCAGAATCACTGCTGCTCGCGCTGCTGCATGCACGCTGTGGCGCTGGTGAGTAAAGAAGGGACATGCAGAGAGCAAGAGAGGAAATCGGAAGGGTAGGACATGCGGAGGGAAGGAAGCATGGGATTTGGAGCAGAAGTGAGGGTACCGGGCATCACTGCAGGAATAAACAGTAACAGACGCAGGTTGGCGTGCATAGGATCGGATGGAGATTTGAGACGTCTCAAAGTTTGGTTTTGAGACGTCTCAAATTTGGCTTTTGAGACGTCTCAAAGTTTGATTTTGAGACGTCTCAAATTTGGCTTTTGATACGTCTCAAAGTTTGATTTTGAGACGTCTCAAATTTGGCTTTTGATACGTCTCAAAGTTTGATTTTGAGACGTCTCAAAACGTGCATAGGTTCGGATGGATCTCACCGTACCAGAAGCAGCCAGCGGGGAGTCAGATTCCATATTTCAGAGCATCAGAGATGCTTGGATCTCACCGTACCAGAAGCAGCCAGCGGGGAGTCAGATTCCATATTTCAGAGCATCAGAGATGCTTGGATCTCAACGTACCAGAAGCAGCCAGCGGGGAGTCAGATTCCATATTTCAGAGCATCAGAGATGCTTGGATCTCAACGTACCAGAAGCAGCCAGCGGGGAGTCAGATTCCATATTTCAGAGCATCAGAGATGCTTGGATCGCAACGTACCAGAAGCAGCCAGCGGGGAGTCAGATTCCATATTTCAGAGCATCAGAGATGCTTGGATCTCAACGTACCAGAAGCAGCCAGCGGGGAGTCAGATTCCATATTTCAGAGCATCAGAGATGCTTGGATCTCAACGTACCAGAAGCAGCCAGCGGGGAGTCAGATTCCATATTTCAGAGCATCAGAGATGCTTGGATCTCAACGTACCAGAAGCAGCCAGCGGGGAGTCAGATTCCATATTTCAGAGCATCAGAGATGCTTGGATCTCAACGTACCAGAAGCAGCCAGCGGGGAGTCAGATTCCATATTTCAGAGCATCAGAGATGCTTGGATCTCAACGTACCAGAAGCAGCCAGCGGGGAGGCAGATTCCATATTTCAGAGCATCAGAGATGCTTGGATCTCACCGTACCAGAAGCAGCCAGCGGGGAGTCTCTGGTGCGGCCAGTGCCATGCCGAGCAGCAAGAGGCAGGGAGGCAGATTCCATATTTCAGAGCATCAGAAATGCTTGGATTTCCACATACCAGCAGGAGCCAGCGGGGGGTCTCTGGCGCGGCCAGTGCCATGCCCAGCAGCAAGAGGCAGGGAGGCAGAGAGCCCAGGAGAAACATGCCACGCCACCTGCAGACATAGGAGTGCAGTGCGGTGGAAAGCGGTTTTGTGGGTGAGTAGCAGCCAGCCAAGCAGCAAGAGGCAGGGAGGTAGAGAGCCCAGGAGATTCATGCCACGCCACCTGCAAGAATTGCAGTGTAGTATGGCGGAATTCGGTTTTGTGAGTGAGCAGCAGCCAGCGAGGGGGGCGGGGGGGGGGGCGTCTCTGGTGCGGTGCCATGCCCAGGAGGGAGGGAGAGAGCCCAGGAGGAACATGCCATGCCACCTGCATGGATAAAAGCAGGAAAAGGAGTACAGTGCGGTGCGGTGGAGTGCGGTTTTGGGAATGAGCAGCATCCATCCAGCGGGGGAGAGGGGGGGGGTCTCTGGTGCGGCCACTGCCATGCCGAGCAGCAAGAGGCAGGGAGGGAGAGAGCCCAGAAGAAACATGCCACGCCACCTGCAGACATAGGAGTGCAGTGCGGTGGAAAGCGGTTTTGTGGGTGAGTAGCAGCCAGCCAAGCAGCAAGAGGCAGGGAGGTAGAGAGCCCAGGAGATTCATGCCTCGCCACCTGCAAGAAGAGAAGCCGAAATAGGAGTGCAGTGCGGTGGAAGTTTTGTGAGGAAAAGTCACAAAAGCCATCTGACTGCATACATGCATGCCACACCGGCTGTGATCTCGCTACAGAGGCCAGCCAGCCAGCAGGGCAGAGAAGGCACCCGTACTGGTGGAGAGCAGCAGAGGAAATGGATGACTTGGGTGCGGTGCAACAGGGTACTGTGAGAAAGAGGCGTGCACGGTTCATGCCTCACCAGCTGTGGTGTTGTTCCAAAGGTAGGCCGGCCAGCAGCGCAGAGAAGACGCCCGTGCTGGTGGAGAGCTGGGCCAACGTGCCCCACGTGCCGCGAGATGAAGTGGGGGTTACCTGTGTTGTGGATGGGAGAGAGAGGTGGGAAGCGGGAGAGGTGTTGTGAGGTGAGTAGTGCACGGTAGAGGGCGTGTATGTAGCAAGGGGTAACTTAATCAGTACTTCAGATATGTAGCAAGGAAAAGTGCAGGGAAACTCAGATGTACCTCTGATATGTAGAGAGGAACAGTGCCGGACACGATTCCCAGCCCAACCCCAACAAGAGCTCGGCCAATCACCATGTGCCACGTGGCAGATGCTGCAGCACTGCGCTGCAGAGGGGTGGGTGGAAGGTTGTACGTTGAGATAGTGTGGTTCAATGCGGTTTGATGCAATACAATAACGTGTGAAGAGGTGCAATGAAGTGAACATTTTGAATGAAATAGAGAGTGGGACTAAGTGCAATGGATGGAGGGTTTGATGAGAGCGAGAACGTTCCCCTGTACACACCTGACTAGGGACCCAGCAATGAATGGCAGGGCGGCAATCTGAAACGCCCGCCTCCTCCCTGCCACGTCAGCAAGCCACCCCCCCAGCGGCGCTCCCACTGCTGCCACGGCCAGTGGAATGCTCACAATCACGGCTGCATGGAAGGGTGGTGGGGTGGGGGGAGAGGATGGAAGGGAACACAAAAGTATGAACAGAGAATTTGTCAACTGAGCAAGCCAGCCCCCCAGCAGCGCTCCCACTGCTGTCACCGCCAATGGGATGCTCACAATCAGGGCTACATGGAATGAAAGGGTGGTGGGACGAGAGGAGGTAACACAAAAGTACGAACAGAAACTGGTCAACTGAGCGAGCCACCCCCCCAGTGGTGCTCCCACTGCTGCCACCGCCAATGGGATGCTCACAATTAGGGCTACATGGACGGGGGCTCACAACCAGAATGGGATTCGGGGAAAAGATGAGCAGGACAGAGAAAGGAAGATAGGACAGTGCATAGGGAGGTGAGGGACAGCCAAACCGGGAGAGGGAACGGGATAGTGGGCCCCTGAAACTCACATATGAGCTACTTAACCACATGCTACGCCCATGCTACTGACGTGCATGCTATGTAGGTATCTACCAGCATCCTAGTTACTCACATGCTGCACAAGAGGTCCTACTAGCTTACATGCTGCCATGCTGGTTGCGGGTTGATGCAGGTCAGCAAGGAGGAACGGCAGAGATGCGTTGATGATACTGAGTGAGACAGCAAGGGGATTGGATGGGATTTGCATGGGATGGGAATTGCATGGGATGCAGTGGCATGTGACAGAGAGAAGGAACGGCAGAGACGCGTTGATGATACTGGGTGAGACAGGGAGGGGATGGGATGGGATTTGCATGGGATGCAGTGGCATGTGAAAGACAGAAGGAAGGGCAGCAATGCGTTGATGATACTGGGTGAGACAGGGAGGGGATGGAATGGTGATTGCATGGGATGCAGTGGCATGTGAAAGAGCGAAGGAAGGGCAGAGACGCGTTGAAGATACTGGGTGAGACAGCGAGGGAATCGAATGGTGATTGTGTAAAATGCATGCGGTGGCATGATAAGTGATGGGGAATGTGATGGCGAGAAGGGACAATGACCGTTTGAGAAGAGAGGATCGACGTGCCATTTGATATGTGATGGGGAATGACACTGGCGCGAGGCAGGGAACAGGAAAGGAGATGGCATTGCTATGAAATGGTACAGGGAAGGGGTGTGGTACAGAGAGGTGCAGAGTGGTGGACGCGACAAGGGCACTGGCATGACGGGGTATCATAAAGCATGTAAACCCCAGTCTCAGGATGAACATCAGGCACGCAACAAACAACATGATGCACAGAGAAGGATAAAAGAATGGGGAAAAAAAGGAACAGTGAAACGGTACCTGACATGGTAACCAAACGAGAGAGCGCCACAGCAGGCAAAGAGAACAGGCAGCGCCACCCCCACCCCTCCGTACCGTCCCTTTCCCACCGCTCTCCTCCCCAACCCATAACTCCCTCCTCCCAACACTCGGCCCCAAAAAAAGCCTTTTGATCCTTTTCTCGGATAATGAAACGGCTCTGTAGCTGCTGCTGCCTCGGGAGTGGGCGTGGCTTGAAGCAGAGTTAATGGGGGGGTTTCAGGAGAGTGAGGATGTGCGTGTGGAGTGGGAGAGAGCGGGGCGTGTCGTGGTGGTAGGGGGAGTGACGCTGCGAGAATGAGCTTGTGGAAGGGACGGTCCTCCTCGGGGATCGGCTCTCTGTCGCCATTGGCTGCCATTCATGAGAGGGTGGGGTGGGAGAGAATGGGGCGTGGCGTGGAGGTAAGGGGAACGACGCTGCGATGATGATTTTGTGGAAGGGACGGTCCTCCTCGGGGATCGGCTCTCTGTCGCCATCGGCTGACATTCATGAGTGGGTGGGGTGGGAGAGAGGAGAGAATGCGTGCGTGGAGGTAAGGGGAGCGAGGCAGCGAGAATGAGCTTGTGGAAGGGACGACGCTCTTCCGGGATCGCCTCTCCTGCGCCATTGGATGCCATTTCTGTATGCACCCATCACGCAACCATCCCTCACGCACCAACGTTTCATCATGCAATCATGCAACCATCCATCATCATGCAATCATCATGCAATCATGCAACCATCCATCATCATGCAATCATGCAACCATACATCATCATGCAATCATGCAACCATCTATCATCATGCAGTCATGCAACCATCCATAATCATGCAATCATGCAACCATACATCATGCACCCAGTCGTGCCTACATGCACACATCAACCCACCATGCCTTCCAAGATTTATCCAATCTCCCACTATGCATCCATGCATCCGAGAGCATACACAAAAAGCCGTTAAGGGAAAGTGTTCAGGGAACTGGTAAGGATCACATGGCAGGAACCTTCGTATTCTGGATCCAGGGAAATTACAGACTAATCGGCGAACTGTGCGGCGATAAGGTTGTAGTCGTTGGGTCCGTACCTCCTCCCATTCCAATTAAATGGCTAGTGGCTGTCGTTCTGTGCCTCGCAGGCGCTGCGAATTCCCGACTGCTGCTGCTGCTGCTCGAAGCACCTCTTGCATTGTCAATGATGCTCCCAGCGAGTACATCCCGAGGTTTGCCGTGTCTCATGCTTCTGTCGCAAAACTCCCTCGGTCACTGATTTCTACGAAAACCCTAATCTCAGAACAGCAAATGCTGGTTCATGTATTTTTCCTTTACTCTTTATTATCGAGTTTCGGACTTCGAAATTACCTACAAAGTCGGATCATCAACTTCAAGCATTCCGCGAAAATGGACTCTAAAGTCGATGATGATTGGTGAAGCGAGCACCTCGCACACCTTTTCGTGAAGAATATGTACGTCCTCGCTGTAGTCAGTCGCACTCCAGCATCTCCGTTCGTGTGCATTGGTTATTGTACACCTCTCACTTTGCTCTGGAGCGTATTGTTACGAAGTAGCTTGCTCCAAAACAAACTTCAGCTCAGATCATAGTCTCCTTCACTTGTCATTCACACGTCACCAGGTTTGGGAGCTGATGGGAGGGAGCTAGCATATCCCTGTGGCGTAACGGTTGCACGTGATTCACTGTCTCGATGTTTTTGTCTATTTTATTATTCCAATATTCCCTCCCGAGATACTAGACAGCTTTCAAGAAACTGAGAGACATTCAAGCTTGTGATAACTGTATTATGCAGAACTGCTACAAGTAGGTGAAGAGTTATGTTCAGCTGACCATAGAGGTTCAATTCTGCAAGGGATGAGAACCTCCCATCTTCGTTGTTTAGGTTCGACAGCCTTTTCAGGGGCAGGAGGGCAACGAAAGGTGTACAGCACCGTAGTTGACTGTCAAATAACGGCTGCCCGGTTGATTTCTTTCCCAGAGCCTGGTTGGAGTCAAGGCGGAGTCACATTGGTTCTCTCCAGCCACGCAAGCACGACGAAATATCCAACCCTGCCCCTGATTGGAGATTCAAGAGAGCCCCATGGCCCCATCTGTTGGAGCCAAACCTGTAGATGCAACAGTTTGGATTTCTGGCCCAGGCACAAGTTTCCCGCCATTCCTCTCTCCTCCCGCAGTCTGCAACAGTTTGGATTTTTGAACCTTCTAAAAAGCTCCACTGTTCAACTAGACCCAACCTAACCGCCACAAGCCCTTACAAACCGTTCCGTTTCAATAAGCATCCACCTCCTCCTCGCCCTCCATTCCACCCACTCCCTTTCCCGTCAATGCATCCATCCTTTACAGTACCACTCATTCTGCCGCCAGACGATTTGCGAGCGAATCCCGTTATTCATCCCTCCAATAACTCACCCACATTCAAATTCCACTTGCGAAACTGGCAGGCAGGAAGCAGAGACACTTGCGTCTTTACGCCTCCGTCCATTGTGTCAGGCGCGCTTGTGTCCAGAGGATTCAGCAAGTCTTTTCGTGTGGAAGATGGGTCACAACAGGATGAGGCCAGTTGCATCCATTGCTCAGCACGAGTCTTGGTTGAGTCGGGTCTGTACTCTGGAACCAGGCATGTACGGAGCCGAAAGATGGATCAGCACGACTGCCTATGGCAGTCATAGCTGCCACTACCCGCTGGTTAGCCGCTCAAACAAGCTCAGTATCAGCAGGCAAGACTCATCTTTGAATCATAGGGCGAGACTCGTCTCTGCTCCGCTGTCTCTTCACCATTTTGCGAGCGAGAGTTGCGAGAAGAACAAATGCCGCGCGAATGCAGGAGCCGCCTGTCAGATGTCCCGTCAACATAGCTCAATTCGCCAAAATCTTTCACTCAGGAGGAGAATCAACCGCTAATCACCACCCGCCTTCCTGACCCAAAACGTGCGATGCGCAGCGAGAGCTGCTTAGTCAACCAATCAGAATACTCCCATCAGCCAGGTCAATCCGTACCCCCGACTGGCAGTCGACAGACGCAGCATGCGACGCGTTCCTTCCTTCGAGAAGATAAACATGCGACACAACTCAACGAATTCCTTTCCTTCATTATATTCTCCAGTGAACCCTCTGAATATTTACTCCTAGCAGTATTACCACCACTCCTGACATGCTCTTGTCAGATTTGCAGCTAGCAGAATTCCTGGTTACAGCTGAAGCCTCATCGCAATTCTATACTCGCTGAGTAGTAGAGTAATCACGAGAACCACATATCAGAAGCCGTCGGTCGGCAGTCTATACTATGCATGGAGCCGTCTCGTGGCGGCTTAAGGCTCGCGCTCCGCTCCGACCTCCGCCTTCGCCGCTCCGGCCGCTTGGCGGAGCGTCAGCACACCGTCAACATTTTGGGTCGGACGTACGGGCAGCTGAAAAAACACTATCAGTTAGGACCTCAGCTCGGATGCGGCGCGACGGGCTCGACGTATCTCACCCAGTGCTTGCGACCCGGGCAGCATTACGGGCAGCTGTTCGCGTGCAAGTCGATCGAAAAAGCGCGGCTCGAAGATCCGGAAGATGTGGAGGCGGTTCGGACGGAAGTGGCCGCAATGCAGGTGCTACAGGGCGTGCCGCAAGTGGTGCAGCTGCACGATATTATCGAGGACGAACAGGTGCGATGCCGGTTTACTCAGTAGAAATGACGCTGATTTTTTACGATATGTTCACCGATGTTACTCGCCGGTACTATTCGCCTTCCCTAATTCTGTCCGCATCCGCAGGCCGCAACTCACCTCTCGTCACTCCCATTTTCCCTTCCCACTTTCCCTTTCCCCCCTTTCGCGGTGCATCTCATCCCCGCGCATTCGCCACGTCACAGGCCGTCCACGTCATCACGGAGCTATGCGAAGGAGGCGACCTGTTTAATCTCCTTCTTATCAACGGCCGGTTCCCGGAACGCACGGTGTCCCACGTGGTTAAGACTCTCGCCGAGGCGCTCGTTACCTTTGAACGAGTCGGTCTCGTCCATAGAGACTTGAAGCTCGAAAATATATTCGTTTCTAGGATCGCTAGTACGGAAATTTCATTATCCGCGAAAAATCGCGGGGACAAATCTGGCCACGGCTCTCAAGGCGACGCTTCTCAGAGCGTTCTTTTCGCTGACACTCACAGCGCTTCAGACTCTCAAGGCGCCTGCACTGGCGCTGGCGCAGGCGGCGTGGCCATCAATACCAGCAGTACCATCAGCTCGTGCGCAAGCACTATCAGCCCTAACAATCTCTCGAGGCGTAACAGCAGGAGCGGCAGCTTCGGCAGCAGCGGCAGTAGCAGCAGTGGCGGGGGCGGCGGCAGCGGTGGCGGCAAAATAGCCGCTAATCACGCTCAGCCCTGCAGCCTCCCAACTAATAATGTGTCTAACAAAAGCGTCTGTAACGGCGGTAGTTGTGGCAGTTGCTGTCACTGTCGCACGACTGGCGTCGCGAATAATGATATCGACTTTTCGCCTGGCAAACTCTCTGGGCTGTTTCCGCTGGTTGACAGCGGCAGGCTGGCTGTGAAATCCGCAGTTGCGACGGCTGCGAATAAGGTTGAGGCGTCAGGTGGCGAGAAGAGGCGAAGTGCAGCAGCTATCCGCATTCGCGTTGGCGATTTTGGGGTGTCCGCGTTCGTTAAGCCTGGCGAAAAGCTTAATTCGGTAACAGGGAGTCCATATTACGTAGCCCCCGAGGTTCTGCAAAGATGTTACGGATCCGAAGCAGACGTTTGGAGCCTAGGGATTGTCGCGTACATGTTACTCTGCGGCTATCCGCCTTTTTTTGCCGACGAACCTGATGGCATTTTTGAAAAGATCATGGGGGGTGACGAAGCTGACGTGTCGCAGGGTCAGTGGAGGTGGATTTCCGGGCAGGCAAAGAATCTTGTGTCAAAGATGCTGGTCAGAGACCCTGCGAAACGGATAAGGCCATCTGAGATCCTCGGTAAGTTCAATCCGTTATTGTCAGTACTCACGCGGTAACCTGTTTATGCTGTCCCTTTCATCTCAAAAGCTCCTAACCGAACTTGTCACCTTGTGCCCCTATCATTTTATGTTTTTTCCCTCCAGAGCACCCATGGGTGTTAAGATATACATCAGCAGCAACACCATCAACTGCAGCACCTTCAGCAGAAGCTGCAGCAAGTACTGCAGAAGGAGCAGCAGCAGGTGTTCCGGTTTCCCATAGCCCCTCCATCAAGCCTCCTAACCCACTCACACTCCAGCTGAACCTTCACCACTTGCCTAATGATTCGCCACGTCAGCATTCTGTATTTTCGTCAGGCAACCAGTCTGCAAAATCGCAACACGCTTCACCACACCAGAACTCCTTCAGCATGCCACGTCATCAATTTCAAGGGCCAGTTGATCTCTCACAACCCTCTGCCAACGTCCAACGCCTCTCCATCAACCCTCCTCGTCCTTCGGTCAACCCTTTTCGACCCTCGGTCAACTCTCCACGCGCCTCAGTCAGCTCCCCACGACCCTCAGTCAACTCTCCTCGCGCCTCAGTCAACTCCCCTCGAGCCTCAGTCAACTCTCCCCGCGCCCCAGTCAACTCCCCTCGAGCCTCAGTCAACTCTCCCCGCGCCCCAGTCAACTCCCCTCGAGCCTCGGTCAGCTCTACCCGCGGCTCAGATTACACCCAGCGGGCCTCATTCAACTCCTTCCACCCTTCAGTCGATTCCCCCCGAGCCTCAGTCAATTCTCCCCGGGCCTCAGTCAACTCCCCGCGCCCTTCAGTCAACTCCCCCCACCCATCAGTTAATTGGAAACCGGGGGGGTCAAATTATAACGGAGGAGGAGGGAATACGAAAGGAGGGGGAAAAACGGGAGGCAGGTGGAATAAGGGAAACTGCACTAGAGGCGATTTTCTGAACCCTAAGGCTGTTGCTCAGCCTGATTCCAAAGGTGCCGTATGTACTGACACACCATTAGCAGGGAGAGCAGGCGCAGCAGCAGCAGGAGCAGGAGCAAGAGTAGGGGCAGCAGGGAGGGCAGGAGCAGCAGCAGCAGCAGAAGCAGCAGGGAGGGCAGGAGCAGCAGCAGCAGCAGAAGCAGCAGCAGCAGCAGTCCCTTTCCATCCGCCATTCCTCCGATCTTCTTCCGACAAACCTACCACTTCAACACTTCAGAGTAGCAGAGCCTTCCGAAAGTCAGCTTCCATGCCTGCAGAGAGAATCTTCCACGGATCTAGGCCGCGTTCCGACCCTCTGAAACTGCCACTGGAATCGACACCGGAATCGATACAGCAGCTCTCCATTCCTGCAGCTAGAGCTCAAGAGGACCGTCCAACGCCCCCCACCGGCTCCACTCCGGAGTGGCCTCAAAGGCCCTCGACGAACTCACACATGCCAAGTTACCCTCGACCCAAGTTGCCCGAACCTGATGGTTTTTTTCCTGCACTGGCAGACTGCGAGTCTTCTTTCACATCCTCTTTTGAATCAGCTCATAACCCAGTCGTTGGGGAGGGCAGTAAGGCTCCCATGGGCTTCCGAATCTTCTCCAGTGCATCCAAATCTCTGCCTGATCTTGCCCAAGTTGCGGCCACGACCAAGCCTACTGGTACCCTCGTTATCAACCAGGGTGCACCTAGGTCTACCCTCAATACGGACAGGGTGGCACCAAAACCGCCCAAGTCCATTTGGTACCACTCGCACGCCTCACCGCATACTCTGCCCAACACTCCTTCACTGGAGCAGTCAGCAATACTTTCTGGAATGCTTGCAGACACGCCTTTTGCCTCTGGGGGGGGGCGGTTGAAGCGCGATGTGATTGTAGCGAAGGGGTATTGTCAAAAGAGGGATGTGCATCAAGCAGAGGAAGCCGTGACACGAAAAGATATGCGCGGAAGTTTTTCTAAGTTCTCCAACTTGGCTCTACTGGACACGAACTCCAAAGGGTCTGCTGCATATACTGTGCCTGGAACGGCTAGAGTTGTTTCAACTAATGCTGCTGCTGCTGCTTCTGCTGCAAGTGTTGCCGATTTTGCTGCTTGTTCTTCTGATGGAAACTTCCTCTCAACCACAAGTTGCACAACCCCCCCAAGGCATCATGGTTCCCCTTCTCTGCACTCCAAGCCGGTTGCTCGCAGATCCTCCCTCGCTTCTCTTCCTGCTGCATTTTCAGTCTCTCCGTGTCACTCCCGCAGCAGCTCCAGATGCAGTCTTGAACTAGAGTCTTCGGACTTTCATACATTGTCCAGCATAATTGCTGCCTAGTATTGCTGAGTTATTATATTTTCCTTCTAATGTGAATTGCGCAACAAGTGTGGTCGTGTTGCATTCCGTTCGTATTTTATACCTTCAAAACCAATACTATTATTTCCTCTTTGTGGAAGTTGTGGTACCTAATTCCTGAAAGAGTTTTTATTTCGCTATGCACAATTCATGCGCTTTACTGCAGAAATTATCCTCGCTATGAGATGAGAGCTCGTTTCTTCCCTCACTTCGCTGAGTACAGCGGTAGCAAGGAAAACTCGTCATTTCTCTTCCTCGCTCCTCCTCACCATGGGCATCCCCGTTACAGAGCACCGCGATTTCGCTACAACGCCTCCACCGCATTGCGCGGCAGTGCCGCACATCTGGTCGCGATTCGTCGACTCTTTCGTTGATTTCGCCGTCGGCGGCCACGTGCTCGCGGGGCGTGCGAAGGATTCGCCACGGTGGACTCAGCCTGTCCAATCAGGAGCTCTAGGTCCAGCCATTGACCAATCAGGAACTTCAAATGAGACGGGTTCCGTCAGTCCAAGAGACACTGACGGGCCGCCTCCGTTAGCGACGGCGCTTCCGGCCGCGGATCGCGTGGTCGCAATCGGCGACATTCACGGCGACATCGCTAAGGCGAGACAGGCGCTTCGCACGGCGGGGCTGATCGACGGCCAGGATCGCTGGACAGGCAAATCAACGGTTCTCGTGCAGGTTGGGGATCTGCTAGATCGGGGAGGGCAGGAACTAGCCGTTGTGTACCTTTTTGAGAAATTAAGGCGGGAAGCGAGACAGGCTGGAGGGGCTGTGCACGTGTTACTGGGTAACCACGAGACTGGGAATTTCGAGGGCTGGTTTCGTTACGCAACGAGAGAGGGCAGGAGAGATTTTCAGAGATGGGCAGCCTGGGAGAGGCTGGGGGTTGGTTTCCGGGCAGCTTGTGAAGGAGGAAGGGTTTCTCCCGACCCTCTAGCTTCTGTTTCCGAACGTGTGAGGACGGAGCTGCGTGCACGCATGGCAGCATTATCTCCGGGCAGCCCGCTCCTGCAGCGGTTTTTTGCGGGCAACCCGAGTGTACTTCGACTGGGCAGCACAGTTTTTGTGCACGGGGGACTGCTGCCCGAGCACGTGCAATACGGTCTGGAGCGGATCAACAGAGAGGGGCAGGAGTGGATACTTTCACCTACCCGGCGGCCGGACGGGCTGCCCGAACGCGGGCCGCATTTTTTCCACACGAAAAACGCCGTTGTGTGGGTGCGAGAATACTCCCATACCGACCCTTCGATCTGCGATTGCAGGCTGCTGGAACGGACGCTCGAGATGCTCCCAGGCTCGATGCGAATGATTATGGGCCACACGATTCAGCAGCCGGGGGGGATCAACGCCACTTGTAAAGGGAAGGCTATTAGAGTGGATGTTGGGATGTCAGAGGGGTGCGGAGGGGCAGAAGCGGAGATTTTGGAGATTAGGAAGGATAGAGAGGTGTGGGTGGTGCGGGCAGCAGAGGAAGCTGCTGGGAAGCCTGCGAAAGCGCATGTTCTGGCTGGGACTGAAGTGCCTGCGGATAAGCATGGGTTCTGGGGGAAGCTGAGGGAGGCCATGGGAACAAGAGTGGCTTAAAGGAAAGTAATCGTTGGTTTGAGTGCTGTGAATTGGGACGTGAGGGCAGCAGAGGAAGCAGCCGGCGCAGCAGCTGAAGCAGCCCACGCAGTAGAGGAGGTCGTGGAGGGTCCCTGCTAAAGCGCATGTGCTGGCTGGGATTGAAGTGCCTGCGGATAAGCACGGGTTCTGGGGGAAGCTGAGGGAGGCGATGGGAACAAGAATGCTGTAAAGGAAAGAAATAGCTGGCTTGCCTGCTGTGCATTGCAGCGTGAGGGCAGCAGAGGAAGCAGCTGGGGCATCAGAGGAGGCAGCTAAGCCAGCAGAGGAAGCCGTGGGGGGACCTTGCTAAAGAACTTGTTCAGACTGGGTCTGACGTGCCTGTGGATAGCATGTGTTTTGGGGAAGCTGAGGGAGCCCATGGGAACAAGAGTGGCGTAATGGACGAAAATGGTTAACCTGCAGTGCATTCGGGTGGTTAGAGCAGCTAAGGAAGCAGCAAGCAAGCCTGCTTGACTGATGTTTGGTGGCTGGCTGGTACTATTTGATGGGTTGTGTGGGGCAGGCTGAAGGATGCAATTGGAACAGCATCTTCTGCGGTTAAACGAGTGCAGAACAGGAAAAGAGATGTGTTGTAGTTTCTGGTGTCTGGTGGAGGGATTGTTAAAAACACAGTCTGCACATTTTCATTCATTTCCAAGGAAAATACCGCTGCTGGAATCACACATGCCACTAGAGAGGATGAGTCTGCTGTAACCACCACTTCACTGCACTGACTTGCGCACCCACCTATGCGCTACCGGTTAGACTCCATTCCCACTAACACCAGTTGCCCGCTGCCTCCGGTTGCTGCTAGTCTGGCTGCTCTGGCTAGCTTCACTTGCTTGACTTGCTTGACTGGTTGCATTTGTTCCCCTCGCACTCCTCGTGCTCCCACTTGCGGTCTCACTCGCTCCTCCTCCTGTCCCACTACCCGTAGTAGCAGCCGTATCCCCTCCGGTTCCTCTCAACAGATTCAGCAGCTGCGTCATTGTTGCAAAAAACAGGTCAGATTGAAAATCCGGGTCGAAAAAAGAGAACAAGGAAAGACCTCCCCCAGAAGAGCCTCCCGTGCTGCTGGGGGTGCCGCTGCCTAGCTGGATTGGCATGGGGATCGCTGGATCTGATGCTGACGTGGCAGCTTGGACGAGCGTGTTCACAATTTGGCTTTGGATATAAGCAGCAGGAGGTGGTGGGGAGGGTGGCGGGAGAGAAGGAGGGCGAGTGGGGACAGTAGGGGAGACACTGCTAGGAAGAGAGGGTGGGGTTGCGAGAGTAAGGGAGCTGTTAGATTGGAGGGAAGCAGTTGCTGCCGAAGCAGCAACGCGAGGCGGTGTCTGCGTTGTGTTTGAAGCGTTGCAGGAGCCTGCAGTGAGGCAGAACGGACGGATGCAATCAATGAGAGATCCGTCAGCAGGCAATTGAAAACAAGAGAAGACAAGACAGAAACAGTTGGTTTTGAAGACATAAAAGGAGGGGTTGTTACGTACTGGCCAGCGTTATCAGCAGAGCACACAATAGCAATGCTCGCCGGGCAGCAATCATGGATAATCCTTCTCCAGCCATAGTCATGGAGTGCTGAGGGGTGCTGAGGGCTTCAGAGAGGTGCTGAGGAACTCAGAGAGGTGCTGAGGGCCTTAGAGAGATCCCTAGAGCCCCTTTTCAGGCTACCAGAAGAAGAAAATAAAAGCAATTTTTAGGGTTGCTGGCAATTGAAGTGGTCCCGAGGGCCTTTCGTCTGCTGTGTGAACCGAGCTCAGAAAGCCGTAATGGCGGAGTAGCTAAATCTCGAGGCCCTCTAAGGCCGACTGAATCTTCACAGCCAGAACGGCAGATAAATAGGTTTTGCTGCCAGCGAGAAGGCCATGAAAGCGGATGCTGTGAATTGCTTTTTGGGAGACCGGAGCTTCAGGAAGCAGGTCGCTGTCACTGTCACGGACACTGTCACTGCCTGTCACGAAACGTCAGTAATTTTTATTCTAGGGTTAGCCTGACAGCCATGGCCTCTCGGTCGCTTTCTGCGTTCTTGCGACTGTGCACGACGGATTGCGAAGCCTTGAGCCATGAATCCACGTTTTTTATTGGCAGAGAACGAATCGTTTGCTGTCGCTCGCTGGAAGACGACGGAAACTCCTGGTTCGCCTGATAGTGACAGCGAGCAGATGAAACCTGAGCCGTCACCATCCGAGCCACCGAGAAATTGACATTCCAGATCTCCTTCCTGGTGGTGCCTTGGAATAGCCGGCAAGGACGTTCTAGCCTAGCACTGCCGCGGAGATTCAGGCTGCTTGTCACGTCTCGAACTTGTCGCGACAATGACTGGAGAAGGGACGAAACAGACTGCCATCATGCAGCTGCTTATAGGATTATCCAGCACGGCGATAGAGACAAGCACTAATGAACAGATAAGTCTTGAAGTTCTAGGATGGGACAGGACCTCGGACCAGAGCCATGGCAGTGTGATGTGGTTCGGTTCATGTTGTTCATTCTCGCAGTGGCAGCCATACTTGGATGTCACACGTCCTCATTTTGAATTCAGGTGCTACGGTTCGGTTTGGTATGTTGCGTCACGTTTATGAGTAGTTCATAGGTTTACAAGAGGCAGAAAACGACCAACACATGAATGTGTGACGCACCCTCTGTATACAGCTGGGTTGTGTGATGCGGTACCTGCACTATTTCTAACTGATACTCTGTGTACAGCCTGGTACCGTAAGTGAAAATGGTGTAAACTTTCAGTGTCAAATGTGGATACTACTTTGCCTTTACGTCCATGCAAGCAAATACAAATGGCATGATGGCCCTCTTCCCCATGTTGCTTACCACATTCTGATGTGGCATTACAATCTTATACTGCAAAAAACCACAACTGCACTGTAGAGAATGAGGTACAGCACAGCACACATTCAGCAACCTTATGATGCATTCTCTTTCTGAGCACGGCTCCTCCTGCTGGCTAGGCTACTCAAACTCGCCCTGCTGGCTCTACTCTGCCTGCTATACTCACTAGCTCTTGCACCCGCACTTTCCCCATCAGAGCCCAAACCACCCCCGACAACTACAACACCTCCACCGGCACCACCACCATTTGCCAAGGTGTTCCCGATCTGAGGCAAATTTACATTGCCAAACCGAACACCAGCTCTGCTAATCAGGCTGCCCAATGTTGGGTCGTTTAACAAGACAGAAATCAGTTCGAGGGCAAGCTGATAAACAGCTTCTGAGGAGGTCGGGGTGGCGGAGATGGCAGGGATGTCTGATGAAGGAGTGTCCAGAGGAGCAGATGTTGTTGCGATTCCGCTATTCAAAATGCGGCGATGCTGTTGTTGGTAACCTTGCTGTGTAGTTTCAGTGACCGAGGCGAATGAACCGCTGCTTTCCCAACCTGAAACATTTGATGCTGCGATGCAAACATGGGAGGGGTTAAGTTTTGTTGGGGATGAGTCAGACAAGGGTTCAAAATACAGGGTAGTGTTGGTGCAGCAGCCAAGTGGTGGGGTATTACAAGAGCCTGAGAGATGAGTGAAACAGAAGGATAGGGGGCGAAGAGACAATTGAAGAGAGTCTGCATACCTGAAAGCAGGAACAGAAGGCAGCAGGCAAAGAGGCGCATCAGAAATGCCATGGCCACGTCAGGAGCACTTCAGGGACTTTCAGTCAGTTTCGCCAGTTGCTCTCTAAATGGCAGGAGCTAAACAGAGTATAGCAAATGTGAAGGACGCATGAGTATTCCGTTCCCCGAGCTTATTTATATGGAAGACCCAGGAACATGAGTCTCAGGGAGTATGTTTGTCCTTCCCAAGGTCCACCTGCACTGGTTCCCAGGCACGGCGACAGACACTGACAGGTGGATCAAGGGCCAAGCCTTTCCGCATCCCTATCCGCTTTCACGTCTGCATCTACATCCACATCCACATCGGAACTCTACGTATTCGCATCTGTCCCATCAACATTCGCATGTCCACAATAGACGCCGGTCAGCTAGCGCCGAAGGCGGGGTTTCAAAATCCGGCTAGCGCGGGCTAGCTCCATGGTGAGAGGGTCGTGCTCTGGAATAACGCAGCTTCCGATGCAATGACTGGCAGACTCGAAATCATCGTTGCGCTTTGTACGCGCTACGAGCAGACGATGATCCTTGGATAAGAGGCACAAGATTCGATTTGGAAAATGACATCCAGACAGTGACCCAGAATTGCTCGGCCGCTACGAGGCGTGGCATCGTCCGCCTACCACCAGTGATCCTTCAAATCAGCCACATGGCAGACATCTCATCGACGAAAACAAATCAATCTTCAAATCGTACGCTCTGCATGTCCCTAGTCCCAAAAACGATATCACGAGCATCCATCAGCGCTCTGCTCTGACTTGTGGGAGTGATGTGACCAGCCTTGGTTTGAGCATGACCACTGCGTATCGCGGAAAACCACTCGATATTCATACTCCTTATAAAGTCAGTCAGACTTATAGGCAAATTGTACGTAACCATGAATGCAAGTATTATCTCCAATTATAACCAGCCTAAGACAACAGTCAAGCATAATATAAAATGGGAATGCTAAATGCTACAGGACATAAGTTAATACATTAGCACTGTTATTGTTAATCTGGGCAAATATCCCTTCTAGATAGTCAAAACTTCTAACTATGCCACCCTTGCTATAATCATATCATTAGCCAGATGCCCCTATTCTGCTACAGCACAACCCAGGACGTTGCTCTATGCAGTGAAGTATTTCTTGACTTCCTTAGCCAAAATTGAATAGCAGCGGATCAAGCAGTGCAACACCAATGAATGGAATATCTCTGTCAACCTGTCCCGACCACCACACCCATCTCCTTCTCCTGCCTCGATATCTGCTCCTCCTGCTCCTCTTCAACGTCGTGCATGTGGATGGTCATCAGCTGCTCCTCACAGCAGCAAGTGCAGCGGCAGCCTCAGGTCCAGAGCAGCACTAGCACTTCAACATACCCTCCCACCACTGCTCCTCCCTCCCCTGCCTATCGCAGTGGCGACATCCCCAGAGCAGCTTCAATGTCGTGCATGTGGATGGTCATGAGCTGCTCTTCGCAGCAGCAGTTCAGGGGCAGCCGCAGGTCCAGATGGCCCCGAGCGTCCAGCAGCACCGTTCCTCCCGTCTCTTCTCGTCCTCCTCCCCCTTTTCCCTACGCCCACAAAACAAACCACTTATCACGCCTATCACGGAGGCAGCATCCCTAAGGCGGCTTCAATGTCGTGGTCATGAGCTGCTCCTCACAGCAGCGGTCGAGAGGCAGCCTCAAGCATAAAGCAGCGCCGGCACCGCAACCACCAACGTTCCTCCTGCCCCACATTCCCCGATCACGTGCCTGTCATGGTGGCAGCATCCCCAGAGCAGCTTCAATGTCGTGCATGTGGATGGTCATCAACTCCTCTGCACAGCAGCAGTCGAGGGGCAGCCGCAGGTCCAGATGGTCCCGAGCATCCAGCAGCACCGGCACTGCCATGCCTCCGTGCCTCCGTTCCTCCTGCTTCCTCCTGCTTCCTCCGTACTGTCAACACCCACCTTTTCATCCCTCCCTCCCACCTGTCACACCCATCACGGTGGCAGCATCCCCAGCGCGGCTTCAATATCGTGCATGTGGATGGTCATGAGCTGTTCTTCACAGCAGCAGTCCAGGGGCAGCCTCAGGTCCAAATGGTCCCGGGCATCCAGCAGCACCGGCACCGCCATTCCTCCGTTCCTCTCCTTGCGCTGCTTCTCTGTCGTGTGTGCTATGATTGCCTCTGCCAGCCCCTCTTCCGAGCACAAGGAGTGGAGCCTGGAAGGGAGACGGGAGTTGGGAGGGTGGCAAGGGGTACAAAAGGGGGTGGAAACGGGTGAAAAAGGGTGGAATGGGGCGAGATAAGAAGCCATCCCCTTGCTACGCGTCCAGCAGCACCGGCACCGCCATGCCTCCATTTTCCTCTCTTTTCTCTGCTTTGTTGTTGTGTGCACCATGATCGCATCCGTCAACGCCTCTTTCGAACATGACGGGTCAGCCTGGTGGGGAAGAGGGGGGGGGGGGGGGGGGGAGGAGGAGTGAGAGGGTGGACAGCAGTGGAAATAGGTGGATGAGTCTGGGGTTGTGAGAGAGAGGGCAGCATGTTCTTGCATGCAGCAGCACATGGCAAACATGTGTGTGTACCTGTGCCACTCGGATGGGCTCACCTGAAGCCAGTAAGTGGAGACAAGTCCGTGTCATCTCCAGCTTCACTCCCCTCCTTGCTCCCACTCCCACTCCTGGTGTCAATACCACTGCCCCCATCCACATAATCAGCTCCTCCCCCTCCCGCTTCCACTCCAACTGGCCGTTTTCCCACTTCCACTCCTTGCAACTGCTTTTCCGAAACATCAGCTACATAGGATAAACTTCCACCTCCTCCTCCTCCTGTCAGCCCATCACTGCCATTCCTGACGCCAGCATTCAAATCAGTACAGCTGCTGTTGTTACCACAGTGATCATGCTCGTTACAGTCACATGCCTTGCTTCTGCTGCCAACCAGACTGCTGCACTCCCCCCCCTGCCCACTCCCCTCGTTCCTGTCATCTGCCCCTTCTTCCTGCTGCTTCCCCTGCAGTACCATCTCTTCCTCCCTTCGCTCCTCCACTCGCTCCCCAATCTCCCTCCCCCATTGCACCCCTCCGCCTTGATGCGTCTGCTCCATCTGCCTCCCAAACACATCCCCCTTCTGTCGAATCTGCTTCTCCTCCACTTGCTGAGAATTCTCAACACATGTCTTCTCCACGCCAACCCACCTCCCCTGCTCCCCGCCTTGACCACCCAACCTCCCCTGCTCCTCCCTCTGAACATCCCTCCTCCCCTGCTCCCTCCCCTGGCCATACCCCATCTTCAGCAGCATCACCCTTGCAATCTCGCTCGGACTCAAATCATCAAAAGTAAAACACTTAGTAACGCGCCGCTTAAACCCCTCATTAGCCTCGAAAACCCGCTGCATAGGCTCCGCATACCCCGCAAAAATCACCACCAGTTTCCCCGAATCCATAACTGTCATAATCTCCTCCAAAGCCTCTATCCCATAGTCTTTCTCCTCACTCCTTTGACACGGCATGAGCCTGTAAGCCTCGTCTACGAACAAAATCCCTCCCTCTGCTTCCTCGATCTTCCTCCTCGTTTTCGGACCCGTATGCCCCACGTATTCCCCTACTAGGTCCGTTCTTTGCACTTCGACGACCCTATTCAAGGGTAAAACACCCACCAGGGCCAGCATCCGGGCAAGCACCCGCGCCACGGTGGTTTTTCCGGTGCCCGGGCTGCCCAGAAAAGCCATGTGTGGGGCGCGGCGGGGAGGAACGGGCAGCCCAAGTGCCCGGCGCCTTTGGTCTAGTAGGAGACCTTTCCCCCATGTCCTTAGCTGCTGCTTTAACGAGTGGAGGCCTACTAACGAGGATAGCTCCTTTTCAAGCTGATCCATTACTAGCTTTGCTCCGTGCACTGCCAATTCAGCCTGTAACGGATAGAAGGACCATAGGGAAGAGAAGAGAAAACGAGATGTTGCAGCTGCCCAGAAACATGCTTCTCGTTTTCATATTCTGCCCTTCTGACTATGCTTCATATTTTGCCCTTTCATAGGCATTCATGCTTGACTATGCTATGTTCCTTCTATCAAGCAGAAACCTTTATACATGCATGCCCACCATACCTGCAGCCTTGTTCGCCTGCTGATGTGTCGTTGCAGCAGAGCCTGCACCTCTCGGCACACAGAGCACCGCGTGGCTCGACTGGGAAGCAGCGCCATGGGCGTATTTCCATCCTGAAGTGGGTGGGGAGGGACAGGGAGACGAGACATGAGGGAACGATACGAGAGTAACGGAGATATGAGCACATGAGAAGAGCCTGCACCTCCCAACACACAAGACACTGATTTATGGGCGTGTTGGATCATCATTGACCCCTCCGTACCGCACTGAACCATACCTTATCCACAGCACACGGGTCTGCATTGGCTTCTAGCAGCACTGCCACGGCCGCCACCACTCCACCACCACACCCCCTGCTGCCACCACCCTTCACTCCACCAGCAGCAGCAGCACCACCATTTGCAACACCACAACCAGCACCAGCAGCACAACCAGCAGCAGCAGCAGCAGCAGCAGCAGACGGGGAGAACATAGACCTGTTTGCAGCAGCAGAAGCAGCAGCAGCAGGTAGGGAGTCGAAACTGGTGGGCGACGATGGTGTGGGTGGCGGGCAGGTGGGGAAGGCAGAACCGTAGGCGCCCGGGAAAAGCAGTTGAGGGGAGAGGGGCTGGGGGGAGAGCGGACGAGAGGAGCAGGGGGAGAGTGGTCGGGGGGAGAGCTCCCCATGGGAGAGTGGTTTGGGGGAGAGTTCCCCTTGGGAGTGGCGCAATGGAGATGGTTTAGAGGGAGAGACTGCTGGGTCTGCTTGATGCGTCAGGTGCTGCTGCTGCTGCTGCGCTAGCTGCTGTGATCCAGGTGCCGATTCAGGTGAATTTGCTGGCCCAGGTGTCGCTTCAGGTGCTGATTCTGCTGTGGCTAGCGGCTTGCTAGGCGGATGGGCGGCAATGCTGCAGTTGAAGTTGCTACCAGTGTCGCTGCCAGTGTTGCTACTAGCAGATTGCACAGCAGCCCACACGGCGAGATGGACAGGCGTCATGCCGTTCTGGTGGTGGGATTGGGAAAGGGGGAGAGAGAGGGAAAAGTGTGTGGGAGGGCGAGGTGGGGGAAAGAGATAACGGATTGCACAGCAGCCCACACGGCGAGATGGACAGGCGTCATGCCGTTCTGATGGCAGGTGAGGGGATGAGATAGAGAAGGTGGGAGCGAAGGGGATGGGGGGATGGAAGGAAAGGGTTGGTTTGAATAGGCATTCGGGAGGAGAGAGTTAGGAAGAGTATTGTAGACGCAGAGTTTTCTCTTTCAATGGTGCAGCAAGCTAAAGGAAATGGAAACGACGAAATGAAGGGTGGGGGTGAGGAGGGGCGGAGAGGGGTCGGAGCGGGAAGGTGGAAAGGCGGCCTTACCGTGGCAGCGACGTCCGCCCGAGCGCCTGCTCGTAGCAGCAGCCGAATGGCATCCGCGTTGCTGCTCTTGGCCGCCACGTGAACAGGTGTCTCGCCGAACTGTAAACGGGGAAGGGGGGGAGGAAAGCGAGGAGAGGAAGGGGAAAGGGGGAAAGGGGAATGAGAAGTGAGGTGTGAGAAAGGAACCCGACAAACGGTGTCCGCGTTGCTGCTCTTGGCCGCCACATGCACAGGTGTCTCGCCGAACTGCAGAGAAGGAAAAAGGGAGAGGGAGACGTGAGAAGAGGGAAGGGGGAAGGGAGAAGGGGGAAGAGGGAATGGGGACGGGGGAATGGGGAATGGGGAAGGGGGAAGGGGGAAGGGGGAAGGGGGTAAGGGGAGACTCGGTTCTCCAACTGTCCCATTGCCCTTAAGACTCTGAGGGACTCTGACTGCTACCTGATGGCAACATCCTGTTTTACCAGAACAGCACTGCTAACAGCGTCTTTTAAGACGTCTCAGAAGTTTTGAGAATCTCAAAAGTTTTGAGAAACTCTGACCGCAAACCGAGGGCACCATCCTGTTTTACCATAACAGCATGCCAACAGCTTCACCGTTTGTTCAACTCGTCTCACCACGTCCGTGCTTTGACGTCCACCCTCAGCTTGCTGTTCTCACAACAATCGACGCTGATTAACCCCGTTACAGCAGTCAACTCGTCTCACCATGTTCCGCGCTTCCACGTCTGCCTTCACTTCTGCCCCGCCGCACGACCCCCTCCAGTCCAGGAGAAACCGGAGAGCCTCGAGGTGCCCCTCCGCCACGGCGAGATGGAGAGGCGTCTGACACACCTGGGTGACGAGGAGTGGAGAAGGGTGGAGAGGGGTGGAGAGGGGTGGCGAGGGGAGGCGTAACATGGGTTAAGCGTGGCATGGGAAGGGCGTGACGTGGGTAGAGTGAGACACTGGGACGTGACAGGATTGGAACGTGCGCAGTTGCGCAGTAAGGCTGTCCGATGGGTTATAGCAAGTCACCCGCAGCTTTCATTTCCACGTGATAAAAGTTGTATTTTGAGACGTCTCAAAAGACAGGACTGGAACGTGCGCAGTTGAGCAGTGAGGCTCTCTGATGGGATTATTGCAAGTCACCCGCAGCTTCATTTCCTTCCGCTCACCGGCAATTGCCTCTCGTTAATAGCACCAGGTCTAACTGTTAGCGCATCGCGCAGCGCCTCTACGTCCCCCTCCCGAGCTGCCACGTGTACTGAAATCCGCTTCTTGCTCCGCACTACAACCGCAGCTTCCGGCGCGGCTCTAGTAGCGGCTCCCCCCTCACTTGCGGAACGGTCGTCCGCCGCTTCCCCCCAATCCAGTCTCCGCCTAGCCGCGGCGCAGCACCGCCGACCAACTCTCCCCCTCGCCGCATCCCCGCCGTCACTCATTCCCGATTCCGCTTCCCCCGAGCCTAACCCTCCACAACAGCCGCAAGAAGACGAAGGGGCTAGCGCTTCAATCGAAGCATGCTGTAACGAGGACGATGGGATGCTGGTTGCCCCGGTGCAAGGGCTCTCGATATCAGGGACCACCAATATCTGCGGCGCTACTCGCGGTGGAGAGGAGATGTGAGAGACATGGCCTGCTGGACCGGTTTGACCTGTTTGAATGGCTTGACCGTCTTGACCTGGACCATCCGATTGCGACGACTGCGACGACTGCGACGACCCGTCAACGGACTCTATTTGATTGGTCGCTCCATTTGATTGGTCGCTCCATTTGTTACCAGACACCTGAGGTTCTGTAACCTGGCGCGGCTCAACGAACATATCGCCATTTTCGTCAGTTGTCGTAATCGCTTCGCGAATGTCTTTGCTAAGCGTTTCGCACTTGGCTGGGGAAGAGCGAGACCTGGAAAAGCCGAGGGTGCTGGTAACGGAAGGGCCGAGCTCGACAGGCGGCGGGAGAGACGGGCCGTATCTAGCGGAAACGGCGGGACCGAAGGGAGCAGGTGACGGGATAATCTCGGCCGCTGGTGAACTGAGAGAAGGGGATAACGGATGGTTGAGATTGGAGAGCGCTGGCGATATGGTGAATCTGAACGAGCCGGAATCGGCTGAGTCGGGAGACGAGGATGCTCGTTGCTGCTGCGGTTCGGGGGTTTCATGTTGAGGGATGTCGGTGTGCGCTGGGTCAGGGTTAGAATCTTGCGGGAGAAAGGATTCGAACGAGGTGCGAACGGTTTCTATGCACGGGATTACAGAATCTGTTGAAGTGGTGACGGAATCCGTTACGAAAGAGGGAGGCGAATCTAAGGTGGTGGTGGAGAGCTGGGGAAGCGAGACTGTGCGGGAAGCGGAGTGAGGAACGCTGGTGGGTTGCGAGGAGGAAGAAGCGGACGTTGATGAGGATGAGAAAGTGGATGAAGAAGAGGAAGAGGAGCCATGGCCAGTTGTGTGTCTCCTTGGCGGTGCTGTTCCGCGCAGTGCTGTTCCGCGCGGTGCTGTTCCGCGCGGTGCTGTTATTCCTCCTACTGAATTTCCTGGGATAAAATCGAATATCGTCTCTAGCGTCTGCTCCTTAGTCAGAGCGCCTCTCCTATCCGCTACAATGAACATTCTCCTAGGACTACCTATTCTTACTAATAGTGGAACAATCCTTTTGTTAGGTGCGCTACGCCAGCATGCTGCTACTACTCCGTGCAAGAACCGCTTAGGAACACCAAATACTTTAGCAGAATTGCGAGAGACGCTCAAACGTTATGATTACCCAAACAGCGAGTTGAGAGACAACTGAGAGGCGAGACAAGACAAACACATATTGCAGACAGATAAAGCCTTCCGAGAATGCGGTAATGTTTCCCAAGGATTCCAGACACACAGATGATGCTTGAATGACAAGGCAGCTACGAGAATTCATTCAGATGTCTGAATGGAGTCGGCCTTGGCGACTGTTGCGAAAGGTCACGGAGACTGGACGAGTTGCGAAAGTTAGGCGCGAAGTCCAGGTAGTACTCGATGGCTAGATATCCAAGATCGACGGTATGCTCTCGTCGCGAAGGATTGTTGCGGAAGTGAGTGGGCTGCAACGAAAGGGCTATGTCAAGTTGCGACAGTTTGCGGACATCATGGCTGTCGCGAATGATTTTGTTTTGTTCCAGCGACGAGGCACCACCCACACGTAACTTCGCCAAGCCGTCAGTGTACTACATTCCTGTCAGACCTTGGCCGACACGGCTTGCCAATACGCGACGCGAAAGTGAGGTTTCCCGCCAATAGCCAAGCACAACCACACAGCCAGCTCAGCAAAGTCAACGGTTGGTAGGATTTCGAAGGTAAAGCTTACTATCCTTTTTCGTAATAGGACATTGTTGTCACATTCCTTAAAAACAAATAGCAGTCATTATCGGCTAATGTAATAATATTTATTTGGGTTACTGTATGTGGCATAAGAATGGCAAACCAACCATGATGTACCGCATCATGCTGAAGGTGCACACTTTCTATAATGGCATAACATGTCGAAATTGTGTGGCATCAAGCCTCATCTTCTGCAAAATCATACAAAAACACCACAAACAAGCACAACACATGAGCACAGTTGTGGAAACAGGGTATTGGGAAAGTGCAAATGTGTGCTTGACACGCTGCACGACACTTACCCAAGCGTTTGAATCTATGATTGCCTCGTAAACACCACCAGGCCGCAAGTATCACGAGAAGCAGCAGAAGCACACTCCCCACCACAATGACCACTACCAACCACATGGGCATTCCTGTGAAGGGGACACATAAACAAGAGTCAGGCACGAAGACCAAAACAACCAGCACTTGCAATGCAGCAAAACACGACAGCAAAGACACTGCCAAATAAAAAGCGTGGCAGAAAAACATCGACAGCCTAAACATTTCCAAGTCTTCAGTCCACTGACCTTCACCTCCCATGCTCTCACCATTGTTTATTCCGGCCGGTGGCTGTGCTTCGGCTGCACTAACTGCCGCCGCTGCTGCTGTTCCCCCTCCTTCACCTTCCCCTCCCCCTCCTTGGTTGCTTGACCCTCCAGCCTCCCCACCCTGTACCACATCCACCTCCTCCTCCCCCTCCTCCTCCTCTTTCTCTAGAGACACTGGCACCACTTCAAACAGCTCCACAGCACTCAGGACAGCTGGCAGCGTGCTATTGGCTGCTGTGCGCACGCCTACCTGGACAGGGTAAAACGGAACGCAAGGGCAAAGCGAGAGCAAGGGAGGGATGGGGCCGTGAGGTGAGCCTCGGTGGTAATCACAGGTGAGGATTCAAGGAGCTGACTTGATTTGAGACGTCTCAAACTTATGTTCTTATAACGATGCCTACAATGTACTCATGATGCTGCTCATAACCTAACGTGGATATAACAATGCTAAAATAAATGGTGCTTGTAATGCCGTTCAATCAACCAGCAACACCCACCTCCATGTCCTCTGAACGACTGCAGGAGAAGCGGGAGCAGCCCACAAGGTAATGTGCTTTTAACGATGCTCACTAGTCAAAGTTGAAACAATGATGCTCACAAGTAAACGATGCTCAAAGCACCCACTTCCAGGTCCTATGAACGACCGCAGGAGAAGCGGGAGCAGCCCACAAGCAGATTTGCTGGTAATGATGCTCACAAGCTGATGTGCTTATAACGATGCTCGCAGGATTATGTGCTTATAACGATGCTTAAGCACAACACCCACCTCCAGGTCCTCTGAACGGCCGTGGGAGAAGCGGGAGAAGTTGAAGAGGAGGGGGACTATGAGGGCCGTGCGGGGCGGCACGTGCGAGAGAATGTCGAAATCCGAAGATGCTTCCGCTGCTGCCGCTGCTGCTGCTGATGATGATGATCCTAATGCTGCTTCTGCTGCCGAGTTAGCAGCACCACCACCAGCAGCACCAACACCAGCACCACCACTCCCACTCCCACTCCCACCTCGCCCGCCCAGCAGCCCGATTCTATTCCCCAGAGCCACCACCCGACTGCCACTCCCCAGCAGAATATCAAACCGCCGGTCGCCCACTTTCGCAGTCAAGTTCATCTCTGCAAAATAGAACCGCATGTACCACAGATTCGACGCGTGCGCTGGTATCAGAGCCATTCGGAAGCCTGTGATCTGGGCGCCCGGGGAAGGGGGAGGTGTGCCTGCTGTGCCCTGGGCATTTTTATCACTCCAAAATCGCCTGTTCTGCTCCGTCTCCCCATGCCGCTCCTGCTCTGCATACTGCTCCTGCATTCGGGCCGGGTTGCCTTGGCGGCTCCGATTTTCAAAGGGTTTTGACTTTTGGGTTAGCATATGAGGGAGCAGGGAAGCGCACTTGGTGCAGAGCCCATCGTGGGAGCGCCGCCGCCGTCGATCACGCAAGTCCAGGTCAGCATGGAAGCGAGGATTCTGGAAACTCAGTCGTCTGCGGGAATGCACCTGCCTCTGCCCTTGTTGCCCCTGCCCCTGCCCTTGTCCTCCCTGCCCCTGCCCCGGTCCCTGCCCCGGCACCTGCCCCTGCCCCTTCCCATCCACTGATTGCAATTCCAACCCCCCAGCCGACCTCCAGTCTTCAAATATCATCCCAGGTAAGAACTCAGGTGGTTTTCTCGTCCCCGCAATCCCCCTTCCTCTCGCCCACCCCCTCCTCCCCACCCCCGCCCTCCCAAGCCGAGCCATCTCCTTCTCCCAAACCACATCCGCAATCCAGGTTCGGAACCCCAGGTCCTCAGGCTCGGGCCCAACCTGTCCGCCGCCCATGTTGATCCGGAGATAAGACGAGAGGATAATATCTGGGCCGAGGGTGGCAGCGTCGTAAGCTTCTGAGTGAACGGGGAGAATCTCTAGGGAGTTTATGATAGGAGGGGCGTGGGAGGGAGTCTGTGTGAGGAAACAGATAGAAATGGTTCCATTGCCGCTCGATTCCGTTCCATTGCTGGCCCTTGCTCCCTGGGTGACATTTCCCACTTTCCCTGTATCCTGTCCCTCTCCGCCTAACCCCACTGCTCCTGCTCCTCCTCCTGCTCCTCCTCCTGCTCCTCCTGCTGCTCCCCCTCCTCCTCCCACTCCTGCCCCCCCATTTCCCCCTCCTGCTGCCATCCCAGTTCCGCCTCCACTCCCCCCTTGCTCTACATTCCCCCCAGGGGCTGTTCCCCCCCCTGGGGCATACGCCATATAGTCAGAATAGTACGCTCCTGATACAAGCCTTTGCTCCACTACACCCATATCCACCGCCTCCACTACAGTATTCTGCAACTTAACTAAAAAAAACGGCGGCGCGCTTTGGTTATCGTAATCATAATAAGCAAACCCTACTCGCACTAAGTAACGGCCGGGTATTACAGGAACCCTGTAGCAGCCTTTAAGTGTTGGGAAATAACGAATTGATGCTTCTACCGAGGATAAAAGGTTCCCCAGGGCGACGTTCTGGGCGAGGGAGACTGGTAACCCGTTACGCTGGTCGGCGGGGTTCTTGCGCTGGTTACCAGATGTGCTTATATCGAAGTATTGGTCAGCTTGCCATTGGATTCCGTTTACAGTTGTGGAGACTGTGCTTCCACAGTTGATACGGATGGGCACTGGTGTGGGTGGGGGGTGCATGTGGGTAGTAGGAGGGGAGAGGGGAGGGGGCATTAGGAGTCGGGATGCGATGACATGAGGTGTAATGGTGCAAGACTGCCTCCCGTTGATAGTTGTGGCGACTGTGCTTCCACGGTCGATACAGATGGGCACTGGTGTGGGTGGGGGGTGCATGTGGGTAGTAGGAGGGGAGAGGGGAGGGGGCATTAGGAGTCGGGATGCGATGACATGAGGTGTAATGGTGCAAGACTGCCTCCCGTTGATAGTTGTGGCGACTGTGCTTCCACAGTCGATACAGATGGGCACTGGTGTGGGTGGGGGGTGCATGTGGGTAGTAGGAGGGGAGAGGGGAGGGGGCATTAGGAGTCGGGATGCGATGACATGAGGTGTAATGGTGCAAGACTGCCTCCCGTTGATAGTTGTGGCGACTGTGCTTCCACGGTCGATACAGATGGGCACTGGTGTGGGTGGGGGGTGCATGTGGGTAGTAGGAGGGGGGAGGGGAGGGGGCATTAGGAGTCGGGATGCGATGACATGAGGTGTAATGGTGCAAGACTGCCTCCCGTTGATAGTTGTGGCGACTGTGCTTCCACGGTCGATACAGATGGGCACTGGTGTGGGTGGGGGGTGCATGTGGGTAGTAGGAGGGGAGAGGGGAGGGGGCATTAGGAGTCGGGATGCGATGACATGAGGTGTAATGGTGCAAGACTGCCTCCCGTTGATAGTTGTGGCGACTGTGCTTCCACGGTCGATACAGATGGGCACTGGTGTGGGTGGGGGGTGCATGTGGGTAGTAGGAGGGGAGAGGGGAGGGGGCATTAGGAGTCGGGATGCGATGACATGAGGTGTAATGGTGCAAGACTGCCTCCCGTTGATAGTTGTGGCGACTGTGCTTCCACGGTCGATACAGATGGGCACTGGTGTGGGTGGGGGGTGCATGTGGGTAGTAGGAGGGGAGAGGGGAGGGGGCATTAGGAGTCGGGATGCGATGACATGAGGTGTAATGGTGCAAGACTGCCTCCCGTTGATAGTTGTGGCGACTGTGCTTCCACGGTCGATACAGATGGGCACTGGTGTGGGTGGGGGGTGCATGTGGGTAGTAGGAGGGGAGAGGGGAGGGGGCATTAGGAGTCGGGATGCGATGACATGAGGTGTAATGGTGCAAGACTGCCTCCCGTTGATAGTTGTGGCGACTGTGCTTCCACGGTCGATACAGATGGGCACTGGTGTGGGTGGGGGGTGCATGTGGGTAGTAGGAGGGGAGAGGGGAGGGGGCATTAGGAGTCGGGATGCGATGACATGAGGTGTAATGGTGCAAGACTGCCTCCCGTTGATAGTTGTGGCGACTGTGCTTCCACGGTCGATACAGATGGGCACTGGTGTGGGTGGGGGGTGCATGTGGGTGGGTAGGGGGCAGAAAGGGAAGGGGATAACAGGAGATGGGATTAGATGAGGTGTGGTGCATATTGCATCCTACATACTGAAGTGGCTTAAAACGGGTATGGACGGACGGGGAGAAGTTCTTGGGGGGATGGGATGAGAAACACTTTTTATGGAACTGATGGAGTGGGTGTGGGTGTGGGTGACAGGCGAGGGACACGGGTGTGGGTGATGGTTGGAGAATGGGAGAGATGGGGGAGAAGTAGGGAGAGGGGAGGAGGAAGGTGTGGGGAAGAGTGAGGGAGGAAAGGTGAGGATGCGAGGTCGCACCAGTGGTTGGTCGCGCGGCGACAGCTGGCGACGCCAAGCATGCGACGAGGTAGAGTAAGCACAAGCAGAACAGTCTCCTGAGTGAAGAGAATGATATGTGAAGGGTAAGCTGGCTCCGAGTTCCCGAAAAGTGCGCTGGGGAGGAGAGTAAGGCGAGTTGCACTGAAGAAGCGGCGCCGGGGAGTGCTGAAGAAGATGCGGAATAGGGGCGCCAGAGACGTTCCAAGAATATTCGCCTTATAGCCATTTCGCTACAAGCACATGCGGTCGAGTTTGTTCTTTTTTATTCAGGTATAATCAAGTGCACAGTGTCGTACACCAGTCAGCGACATTCGTTCACGGGAAGGCCAGACGAGCGACGCGAAAACATCGTCGCACGCTGCCTGCATAATCCCGCATTCAACGACAACCCAGCGCTGGGCTGTTGCTAGCCTACAGGTCGTTGGTCTCCTGCTCCTTCAAGTTAGCCTATTAGGAGTGTTATGGTTCCCCTAGGGGCTAGTTATTTAGGCTAGTAATAAAATATATGGGTTCGTGGAAAGATTGGTAGTGCACTAGGAGACGGCATGCGCTGAACGGTTTGTATGATATTTTGAACGGTGAAGATGGTGATACACAGAAGTGTTCCGCAGATCCCAGGGTGAGGAGATGGTGTGGTGATAAGCCGACGACGCCGCCAATAGTTGGTTGCGGATGGGCTCGAATCGAAAGTAACACAGATGAGTTACTTTCGTGTAAGACTCCTGGATTAGCTCGCACAGATGTTCGCTGGCCTAGAGAACTTCGAGCATTCGCCACTTACCATTCGCGAGTTTCGTCGCCTACGACAAACACGGCAACCCTGCGAGATTAACTTCAAGCATCAATACAGAACAGGCCTTCAGGTTCGCAAATGGAGAACTTATAGCGAGGAGATTCCGGTGCCAACTACAGCGCATCAGTATTTCGCTTAGGAACAAAACAGACAATAAAACGATTCCTCTCATTGTAAAAAACATCATTTCCTCCATTCCTGTGAAAACTGCTTGTCCGCAACAATGGCGTCCGCGGCCGCGCAACTTTCGCTTCCGCGCGTCTTCCGTTCATCTCCAGATGCCCATTGTGACTCGTCGAGCCGCCATCGCTCCGCCGTGCTTCCGCGTTTCGCGGGCTTAAAAATATCGTCACCAGCTGAGCGAATAGGCGGTGAAAATGCGTTCCGCAGTACTAGTGCCGTGCCTGGCGGAAACAGGGGAAACAGGGAGCGTTTCCGTCTTCCGCATGCGGTGGCGCGCGCGGAATTTGTGGTGTCGGCGGCGGAAGGCGGAACCCGCGCGCCGCAGCGGGATCGGAAGCAGAAGCTCGCCCCGCCAAGCGGGCGCGCGGGGGGCGTGGGGAGGTCGGGGGGCGGAAAGATTCCATACGAGCTCGAGGCGGTGATCAGCAATCTCGTGTCGCTGGCGCCACGTGGCAGCATCTCGCGATGCATGGAGACGTTCAAGGGGAAGCTGACCCTGCCGGTACGGTTTGGGACCGTCTACAGGGATTAGGGTTTCATCCGCAGTGAACAGGGTTCGGAAGAGCCATCTACAGTGATTAGGGTTTCGGGTCACCCGCTGCAGTAAGGAAATTTCCAGGCCGATATATGTCTGGAGACGTTGAAAGGGCGGGGCTGTCGCTGCTGGTAGGGTTTGGTGCCGATGCATTAATAAGGGCTTGTAGCCAAGATCTCTCCCCAGCGCGTTGCTCGCTCTCGCCATTCCCCATTCTCATTTCCCAACCCCCCAACCCCTTCTTCCCCTCCTTCCCCTCCCATCCCTTCCTCCCCACCCGCTTCCTCCTTCCCCACCTCTCCGCCCCTTCCCCCCCCTCTCCCCCTCTCTCCCCCCCCCCCCCCCCCCCCCTTCCCCCCAGGACTTTGCGCTGATCTTTAAGGAGTTCGCGCAGAGGGGCGATTGGATCCGCGCCATGCGCCTGTTCAAGTACATGCAGGTGCGGGGGATGCGGTGCAGGTGGGTGGGATGCGGTGCAGGTGGGTGGGATGCGGTGTGGGTGGGTGGGATGCGGTGTGGGTGGGCGCGTGAGTTGTTGGTGGCGTGTTGTGGCAAGATTAGGGACGATTGGATCCGTGCCATGCGTCTCTTCAAGTACATGCAGGTGGGGGGCGCTTGTGTGAGGAGGGGAGTACAGGGAGATGGGAGATGGGAGATGGGATGGGGTTGGGTTAGGTTGTTTGAGGGATGCCCTGCGCAGAGCAGAGGGACGATTGGATCCGTGCCATGCGTCTCTTCAAGTACATGCAGGTAGGCGGGGGGTGGGGAGAGGGGAGGGTTGGGTGGGAGCGGGGTAGGGTGGGGAAACGAGATTAGATGTATGGATGCACAGAGGAGAGGGGCGATTGGAGGCGATATGCGCCGCTTCAAGAACATGCAGGTGGGGAGGGGACTGTCTGCAGTGTTTCGGGTGCGCTGGGGGGGGGGGAGGAAGGGGGGAAAGGTGTGGGGGGAAGGTTGGGGAAGGTGGTTGGGTAGACGTTACTGGTTTGGGGGATGCGTGCACTAACTTTCTGTTGTTTCTGTTCGGCTCGTGATTCCTGTGTTGTGTGTGTGCAGCGGCAGCAATGGTGCGCGCCGAACGAGTACATTTACACCATCATGATCGGCATCATGGGTGAGTAGATGATCTGTCCACATGCCCACCCACCACCATGCATGCTCCACAGACATGTGCACCCCCATTCATGCGCCGAACGAGTACATTTACACCATCATGATCGGCATCATGGGTGCGTGCCCATGCCCTGCCCACCCACCAGCATGCATACACGCACATGCCCAACCCATCAGCATGCATGCTCCACAGACATGTGCACCACCGTTCGTGCTCCCAACGAGTACATCTACACGATCATGATCGGCATCATGGGTGCGTATTCCACGTGGCCTATCCACCAGCATGGATGCTCCACAGATATGCGCACCCTCATTCATTCATGCCCCCCCCTCATTCGTGCGCCCAACGAGTACATCTACACCATAATGATCGGCATCATGGGTGCGTGCGTGCACTGCTCTGCACACATGCCCACATGCACACCCACCAGCATACAGACAAACACATGCATGCATGCATACAAGGCCACCCACACGCCCCTTTGTGTTTGCTGCTGCTTCCCCATCCTCTTCTACGCCTCCCCCGTCCTTTTCAGGAAGTGAGGGCATTTTGGACCGTGCACAGGAATTGATTGAAGAGATGCCGGAGCATGGGGTGGAGCATGGTTGAATTGCTCTGTGGAGCCCCTTTGTGTTTGCTGCGTCTTCCCCGTCCTCTTCTCCCACCTCCCCCCTCTTTATCAGGTCGCGAGGGCATGTTGGATCGGGCACAGGAGCTGTTTGAGGAGATGCCGGAGCATGGGGTGGAGTGGAATGTCTATTCTTTCACGGCGCTCATCAACGCTTATGGGAGGAACGGCATGGTGAGGAATCGCCATTGATGCGCTTAAAAATTTCTACGCTTGAGGCGCCTCACTAGCTGAACGGAGCATGGCTAATGAGGTGAGGGCATGGGAACGTGTATTCGTTCCCTGCCCTCATCAACGCTTATGGGAGGAATGGCATGGTGGGTGAGAGATGACTGTGGATGCACCTCATTCCCGATGCTCAATGCACCTGTTGCGAAACAGCTTCTGGTAGCTGAACGAAGCATGGTGTGGCGTGGAGTGGAGTGGTGTGGAGTGGAATGTGTATTCCTTCACGGCGCTCATCAACGCGTATGGGAGGAATGGCATGGTGAGAGACTGCTGTTGATGTGCTTGAAAACCCAACGTTTGAGGCGCCTCACTAGCTGAACTGAAGGGAACATGGCGTGGAGTGGAACGTGTATTCCTTCACGGCGCTCATCAACGCGTATGGGAGGAATGGCATGGTGAGAAGAGAGGCAAGGTGAGGAATGGCAAGGTGAGGAATGGCAAGGTGAGGAATGGCACGGTGAGAGAAACGGCATGGAGAGAGAAACGGCATGGTGAGAAACACGTTGCTTAGTAGAGCATGCTCCATGGGTAGTCCTTAGTTGAGCTTGAATCCTGATGAGCATGGAAAGATAATTAGTGGAAGGGAGAACGTGAGGCTGCATTTTGAATGGTTGCTGCCACTGTTCCGCTTTTCCTTGTTTTGTTCTTCCATCTCTCTTCCCCCAACCTCTCCTCCCACCGACTTCCCCCTTCCCTCTTCCCCCCACCCTCTCCGCCCACGGCATTGCTCCCCACACCCCCTACTAGTTTCCAGTATGAGCGATCACTACTAGACCTGCTAGCTCGCATCACATACAACACCGTGCTGCACGCATGTGCCAAGGGCTCTGCTCTTTCCCATTCCCTCCCCTTCCCACCCTGCCCCCCACCCTGTTTTCAGTACGAGCGATCACTAGACCTCCTGGCAAGGATGAAACGCGAGGGAGTAGCAGCAAACAGCATCACATACAACACCGTGCTGCACGCATGTGCCAAGGGCCTGACTGACTCTTTTCCACCCCCTCCCCCTCCCACTCCCACCCTCCTCTCCTCTGCCCCCATCCTCCTTTTTTGCCCACCAGTACGAGCGCTCATTGGATCTACTAGCAAGGATGAAGAGAGAGGGAGTGGCAGCGAACAGCATCACATACAACACCGTGCTGCATGCATGTGCCAAGGGGCTGACTCTTTCCCATCCTCTCCCCCACCCCCACCCACTCCCACCCCACCCTCGCCTCCCACACCCTGTCCCAATCAGTACGAGCGATCACTCGACCTCCTGGCACGCATGAAGAGAGAGGGAGTGGCCGCGAACAGCATCACATACAACACCGTGCTGCACGCATGTGCCAAGGGCGCCATTTCCTGGGACGGGCTCGTTGATATCTTCGCCAAGATGAGGCAGGAGGGCGTGCAGGTGAGAACAGGGGAGAGGGAAGGGATTGAGAGGGAGAGGGAGTGTGTGGGAGTGTGTAGGAGTGGTTAGCAATGCCCCATCTTCACTCTCCGCACCCCCCTTGCCTCTTGTTCACTCTCCTCCCACCAGCCCGAATAGTAACGTTCAACACACTGCTAGCAGCCTGCAGTGCCAGTTTCTCACTCTCCCGCACCCCCTTTTCTTTTCCTCTCACTCCCCTCTCTCATCCCCTCCTCTCAATCCTCTCCCTCCTTCCTAACCCCCCCACCCCTCCCCCTCCCCCCTTCCCTTCACTCCCCCCATCAGCCCGACATAGTCACGTTCAACACGCTGCTAGCAACCTGCAATGCTTATGACCCCTTTCCCCTCTCCTGCCTCTCCTCTTCTCGTCCTCCCCTCCCCCTCCTCCCCCCCATCCTCCCGCCAGCCCGACATAGTCACCTTCAACACGCTGCTAGCAGCCTGCTTCTTGCTCCTTAACCTCTCTTTCCCCCCCCTTTTTCTTCCCCTTTCCCCCCCGCCACCCCCTCTCACCAGCCCGACATAGTCACGTTCAACACGCTGCTAGCAGCATGCAATGCGCGCTCGCTAGTAGAGCAGTCAGCAATGGTTTTCCGCTCTATGGTGGCTTCCCAGGTAGGTGTTTGTGCGTGTGTGCATGCATGTGTGCACGCATGGTTCTCCAGTCGCTCAGCGATCTCAAAAGCACATTCTTGCCTTGCTGCGCAGTCTGCAGTGGTCAATACACAAGTATTAATAAAAAAAATTGAGCATTTTAATCCCACATCTACAACTCGTTGCCGATGTGTCTCTGTCTGTCTGTCAGTGAATTCCAGCTTTTCAACCCTTCACTCCCTCCCAGGTGCCGCCCAACGCCCTCTAATGACGGCTGAAGGTCTAATACTGCCAAGATTTCCCGACCATTCCAATCCTTTCCAGGTGCCGCCCAACGCCCTCTCCTACGCCTCATTGGTCGACACGCACCGCCGGGGCGGGCAGCTGGGCGGCGTGCGTCGTCTGTTCCAGGAGATGTCGGAGGAGGAAGGCGTGGTGGCTGACGTGTCAGCATACAACATGCTCATCGACGCTTATGCGTGGGGGGGAGAGTACCAAGCAGCTCAGGAGGTGAGTGGAGAGATGTCACATAACTGCTGTATGTATCAATGCACACTGCAGCCTTGGGGTGGTGGCCTGACTTGTAATGAGTCGACTCAAAACAGAGATGTCACATAACTGCTGTATGTATCAACGCACACTGTAGCCTTGGGGTGGGGTGGTGGCCGACGTGGTGACTTTTGAGCCGACTCAAAAGACGTCGGAGGAGTCCAATCGAGCCCCATCAATTTCACACAAGCGTTTCCCTACGCAAACACACACACACTTTTTCACCTACTCCGGTGTCGTAACCAAGTGATTGATTGCTGCCACGTATCGAACAATGGCCTCCAAATGGGGCTCGATTGGACCCTGCAGCCTTGGGTGGTGGCCGCCGTGGTGACTTTTGAGCCGGCTCAAAAGATGTCGGAGGAGGAAGGGGTGGTGGCTGACGTGTCAGCATACAACATGCTCATCGATGCTTACGCTTGGGGGGGGGGGGGGGGGGGAGTACCAAGCAGCACAGGAGGTAGGTAGGAATGGTAACCGTTACCGTGTGGTGGCTGACGTGGCGTGTCAGCCTACAACATGCTCTTCGATGCTTACGCTTGGGGGGGAGTACCAAGCGGCTCAGGAGGTGAGAAATTGAGACGCGATTTTACATCTACTACTTCTCATACACACATGTGCGTGCCCAGTGCCCTTGCCGTGTTGTGGCTGACGTGTCATCTTACAACATGTTACAACATGTGACAACATCTTACAACATGTTACATCGATACTGAGGAGATGCAGTTGTAACATGTTGACTTTTGAGGCGCCTCAAAAGTCGATACTGAGGAGATGTAGTAACATGTTGATGACACAGCGTGGCCACATACATACAAGGCTCTCTGGAAAACCCCTGTAATCCCTCTCCTTGCTACTCTCCTCCCCTCCTCCCCTCCTCCTTTCCTCCCTCCCCTCTTCGCCATCAGGTGTTCAACGAGATGCAGCAGGCAGGCTGCATCCCCAATGTGGCCACATACACGGCTCTCCTCAAGGCCCTCGGGTCCAACGGCAGCTACCACCACGTGCGATCCGTCTTCACCCAGATGAAGGTTGCTGAGGGGCAGGAAGGAAACCCAGTCCACCTCCCCTTTCCTCCTTCTTGTTCCCTCCCTAACCCCTCCCCCCCCCCCATCAGGTCTTCAACGAGATGCAGCAGGCAGGCTGCATCCCGAATGTGGCCACATACACGGCGCTTCTTAAAGCCCTTGGATCGAATGGCAGCTACCACCACGTGCGATCCGTCTTCACCCAGATGAAGGCCTCTGGGAGGAAACCCGATCTCGCCACGTACCGGACGCTCCTGGACGTTTTTATCTCGGGAGGGTTCTTCCGGGAAGCTTCCCGGCTGTTCTGGGACATGGAGGAGGATGGGGTGGAGGTGGATGAAGGCGCTTTCACGTCGCTGCTCGTGGCGTGTGGGCTGGGAGGGTTGACAACAGAGGCCACCGAAATATACAGGTATAGAGCTTTGAATCGCCTCAAACGCTCCAGGTCCTTACGCAGACGCCCATTCATAGAATAGACTCGTAAGATGTTGGTAAATTCGGTTGAGAGCCTTGTGGTCAATCGATAAAGCTTTGCGGCTGTTCTGGGACATGGAGGAGGATGGGGTGGAGGTAAATGAAGGCGCTTTCACGTCGCTGCTCGTGGCGTGTGGGCTGGGAGGGTTGACGACTGAAGCAACTGATGTTTACAGGTGTGGTGCTGGTGAGGTGGTGTGTGAGTCGAGTCACAAGTCATTCACTTGGGGGGGGATGGGGTGGAGGAGGTGGATGAAGGCGCATATTCACATTGCTGCTCGTGGCATGTAGATTGAAAGGGCTGGCATTTTTTAAGACGCCCCCTTCCCTCTCTCCCCTTCCAACCCCCCCCCCCCTCCCCCGCTCCCCCCCTTCTCCTTACAATCAGGTTCATGCGGGAGCGGCCACAGGTGCAGCCATCATCCTCGTTAATAGAGGCTTTGATTCACCCGTGTATGCGAGCAATACCCTAGATAGATGTTGTTCGTGCACTCACTGCACTCTCCTCCTTCCTCTTTCTCCTCAGGTTCATGCGGGAGCGCTCGCAGGTGCAGCCGTCATCCTCGTTAATGGAGGCTCTGATAAGCGCGTATGGGCAGGCGGGCATGTACGACCATGCGCTGACGGCCTTACACGAGAGCATGGAGATGGGACTCTCTGACCAGCCGGTGAGTGGAGGAAGCAAGGGGAACTGGATATGATAAGCACTTCTCGCATGTGGGCAGGCAGGCATGTACGACCATGCGCTGACATCCTTACACGAGAGCATGGAGGTGGGACTCTCTGACCAGCCGGTGAGTGATTGACGCAAGGGCATGAGTAGCAGCAGGACCATGCGTACGACCATGCACTCACTGCCCTGCATGAGAGCATGGAGATGGGACTCTCTGACCAGCCGGTGAGTGACTGAGCAGGGAGAATGTATGACAACAGTAACCGCATAGCATACCCCAACAAGCAGGCTGGCATGCGGGCATAGCATACCCCAACAAGCAGGCTGGCATGCGGGCATGTGCGACCATGCGCTGACCGCGTTGCATGAGAGCATGGAGATGGGACTCTCAGACCAGCTGGTGAGTGATTGAGTGGGGAGCAAGCGCGCATCAATGACCGCATAACCCAGCAGGCAGGCAGACATGCAGGCATGTGGGAATACCCTCCATGCAACCATGCTCTCACCGCCATGCAGAGGGGCTGATGGGGCATGCCCGGCGTTAGTGGTGCTTCAATTGCATCCTGACTTAGTGCACGGCCATGTGCTACGTACATACATTCCTTTCGTCTCCCCTTTTCTCCAACAGGGTCCCTTCCTGGCGCTCATGGAGGCGTATGCAGCGGGGGGCATGCACGATGACGCAGCAGCAATGCATCCTTACTACTCCTCCCCCTGCTGCTACCCACTCCCCCCCTTCTTCCAAACAGGGTCCATTTCTCGTGCTCATGGAGGCATATGCAGCAGGGGGCATGCACGACGATGCAGCGTTCGTCTTTGCTCTCATGGTAGTGATGCTGTGGCACTGACATCTGGCACACCTCTACACCCATCCCCACCCCCCTCCTCTTCTTAAAAACAACCTCACAGGGTCCCTTCTTGGCTCTCATGGAAGCGTACGCAGCAGGGGGCATGCACGACGATGCAGCAGCAATGCATCCTTACTACTCCCCCCCTTCTTCCAAACAGGGTCCCTTCCTTGCGCTCATGGAGGCATATGCAGCAGGGGGCATGCACGACGATGCAGCGTTCGTCTTTGCTCTCATGATGCAAGCAGATGGGGGGAGAGCAGCCGCAGCAGCAGCAGGAGGAGCTGGAGGATTTCTATCAGGAGACACCACCACTACTGCGAGAAACACTCCTGTCTCGCTCGCTACCTCCACCATCTCCTCCTCTCCCTCCTCCTCTCCCTCCTCCTCCGCCGCCTCTCCGTCCTCCTCCTCTCTCACGGGTGGTTCTGGCCCCTACCCTGCTGATGCGTCTTTGAGAACGTTTAATGCTCTAATCGAGGCGTTCACTAAAGGGGGGCTGTACAACGAAGCAATCAAAGTCAGCGAGGTGAGGGTAGTAATCAGGCGTGAGTGTAACGGAATGTGAGTGTAATGGGGTAACGGGATGTCAGTGCAGCGTTCATTTGACGCATGTCATTTGACGCATGTCATTTGAACCTTATCTCACCCCTCAAAACTCCATCTCACCTCACACAGGACATGGAGCAAGTAAACTGTCGCCCCCCCCCTAACACCACATGCAGCCATGGTGGCAGCATACAGCGCTGCAGGCAGCAGAGGGGTGGCTTTTCCAAGGCTGGCTGCTCCCCTGCTCGGCTCTCTCCCTCCCCTTCAACCCTTTGAACCCCATCTCAACCTTTTGAACCCCATCTCAACCCTTTGAACTCCATCTCAACCCTTTGAACTCCATCTCAACCCTTTGAACCCCATCTCAACCCTTTGAACCCCATCTCAACCCTTTGAACCCCATCTCAACCCTTTGAACCCCATCTCAACCCTTTGAACTCCATCTCAACCCTTTGAACCCCATCTCAACCCTTTGAACCCCATCTCAACCCTTTGAACTCCATCTCAACCCTTTGAACCCCATCTCAACCCTTTGAACCCCATCTCAACCCTTCGAACCCCATCTCAACCCTTTGAACCCCATCTCAACCCTTTGAACCCCATCTCAACCCTTTGAACCCCATCTCAACCCTTTGAACCCCATCTCAACCCTTTGAACCCCATCTCAACCCTTTGAACCCCATCTCAACCCTTTGAACCCCATCTCAACCCTTTGAACCCCATCTCAACCCTTTGAACCCCATCTCAACCCTTTGAACCCCATCTCAACCCTTTGAACCCCATCTCAACCCTTTGAACCCCATCTCAACCCTTTGAACCCCATCTCAACCCTTTGAACCCCATCTCAACCCTTTGAACTAGACATGAGCACTTTTCCAAACCTCAAACACGTTCGTTTCGAACATGTTCGACCCGCTTTTTTGTAAAAAGGTTCGCCCAAACATGTTCGGTGTTCGAAAAGTTATAAGGGAAAATTCCCGAACACCAAACATGTTCGGTTCGTTTCCCCGCTTTTCCTAACATTAGATGTTCGAAAAAAACCAGCGCGACATTTGTCGCGCTGGTTGGATGCAAGTCCTACGGAAAACATAGATCGAGGTCATTTCGACCTCGATCTACCCTTTTAGGTTAAGTACACAGCAGTAAGGAGTAGTAGGCTCCTTTCCAGCCCATTCCCACCCAATTTAACGGTTACTTATGGTAACTTAGGTTAATTGGTCGTTACTTACTACTTTCTTAAAAAGGAAGATTTGTAAACGACTACAGACCTGAAAAGGCAGAAAACCGTGTTCCCCCGTGTTCCCCACCCCCTAAACATGTATGGGCAGGTGTTGTTGTACTTAATTGCATGAAACAGGGGTGGTGAAATCTATTAAGTCACAGAATCTGCTAAGTCCTTATTTTCGAACACCAAAAATGTTCGGAATTGGCCGAACATGTAGATGTTCGGCGAACAGTAAACATGTTCGCCCACACTAACCAAACACCAAACATGCAAAATGTGAAAATAATGTTCGGGCGAACCGAACATGTTCGGTTCGCCCAATTAAACTGTTCGGGGACGTTCGGGCGAACACGTTTGGTGTTCGCCCGTTGCTCATGTCTACTTTGAACCCCATCTCAACCCTTTGAACCCCATCTCAACCCTTTAAACCTCATCTCAACCCTTTGAACTCCATCTCAACCCTTTGAACCCCATCTCAACCCTTTGAACTCCATCTCAACCCTTTGAACTCCATCTCAACCCTTTGAACTCCATCTCAACCCTTTGAACTCCATCTCAACCCTTTGAACTCCATCTCAACCCTTGGAACCCCATCTCAACCCTTGGAACCCCATCTCAACCCTTTGAACCCCATCTCAACCCTTTGAACCCCATCTCAACCCTTTGAACCCCATCTCAACCCTTTGAACTCCATCTCAACCCTTTGAACTCCATCTCACTCCGTGCACCCACCCCCCCCCCCCCCACACCCCACTCCAGGACATGGAGCAGGCCAATTGCCGGCCCTCTCTGGCAACGCATGCAGCCATGGTCGCAGCATACAGCGCTGCTGGCACGTTTGAAGCGGCTTACGCACAGACCACGGAGATCAGGGAGGAGGGCATGGTGCCTCCTGCTGCGAGTTATTGTCATCTGCTGGCATTGTGTGCAAGAAGGGGAAGGTGAGCGAAAGCATAGGCTCGAAGCGGCTTACGCGCAGACGACGGAGATCAGAGAGGAGGGCATGGCGCCTCCTGCTGCCAGCTACTGCCACCTGCTTGCTCTGTGTGCGAGACGAGGAAGGTGAGAAGATGTTGAAGGTGAGTGGAACAGAGGGATTGAAAGGCCACGTATGAGGCGCTTATTCACAGCCCACGGAGATCAGAGAGGAGGGCATGGTGCCTCCTGCTGCCAGCTACTGCCCACCTGCTGGCGCTATGTGCGAGGAGAGGAAGGTGAGAGAGATAGCCGGGGAAGAGGGACAAGGGAAGTGTGGGGGCACGTTTGAAGCGGCTTATGCTCAGACAACGGAGATCAGGGAGGAGGGCATGGCATGGTGCCGCCTGCTGCCAGTTATTGTCACCTTCTTGCGCTGTGTGCGAGGAGAGGCAGGTGATTGGGACAGGGCAAGTGGGAAGGAATGTATCATGTATGTGGCAGAAGACGGAGATGAGAGAGGAGGGCATGGTGCTGCCCGCTGCTTGCTACTGCCACCTGGTGGCACTCTGTGCGAGACGAGGGTTATGCATCTTACCCTCCTTTCATCATCTTAACGAGATGACTTTTGAGTCGACTCAAAAGTCACCTCACTCTGTGCGAGACGAGGGTTATGCATCTTACCCTCCTTTCATCATCTTAACGAGGTGACTTTTGAGTCGACTCAAAAGTCACCTCACTCTGTGCGAGACGAGGGTTATGCATCTTACCCTCCTTTCATCATCTTAACGCAACCCCTCCCCTCCCCCTTGTCAGGTGGCAGGACATGAGGCGGCTGATCACGGAAATGGAGGGGGGTGGAACGGGGAGGAGCACCGCGTGGTGAGGGGGCTGCTGGTGGGGCGATACGAGTTCCTCTGTGCCTTACCCCATCCCCATCCCATCTCCTTCCCATCCACTTCCCATTCTCTTACTCCTCATTGCCCCAGGTGGCAGGACATGCGGCGGCTGATCGCGGAAATGGAAGGGGGGGGAACGGGGGAGGAGCACCGCGTGGTGAGAGGGCTGCTGGTGGGACGATACGAGTCGGAGGAGTTCTGGCCTATCGCTGAGGACTTCTTTGGGAGGCTCAAGGTGAGCTTGAATACCTCACCCTGAGACGGTTCAAGATGCACAACATGAGGGCTGCTGGTGGGGCGGTATGAGTCGGAGGAGTTCTGGCCGATTGCAGAGGACTTCTTTGGGAGACTCAAGGTGAGTTCGTTGACTTTTGAGTCGACTCAAAAGTCAACTCGTGTCGAGATGCATGCCGTGTATATCATACATGCTGGTGGGGTGACACCCACTCAAGCTGCTCTCAAGATGCTCTCATGCCGCATCCAAATATCTAGCATGCCTCTTTGCTCTTATGTGTGCTTGACCCATCATTCCCTCTCACACTCCTACCGCACAGAGGGAGGGTTTTTCTCAACGCGCTCATGGACGCCCTCTGGTGGGCGGGCAGGCGGGCAGGCTGGCAGGCGAGCTCCTCTTATGTTCCTCCATTCATGCCCACCCCACACACAGAGGGAGGGAGTGGCGGTGAACCGAGTCTTCCTCAACGCGCTCATGGACGCCCTCTGGTGGGCGGGCAGGCGGGCCACAGCACTCAAGCTGCACGCACCAGTCCAGCACCCCTCTTTTCCCTTGTGTGTGCTTGACCCAACATTCTCGCTCACCCCCCCCCCCCCCCCTTCCCGCACAGAGAGAGGGAGTGGCAGTGAACCGGGTCTTCTTGAACGCGCTCATGGATGCCCTCTGGTGGGCGGGCAGGCGGGCCACAGCACTCAAGCTGCACGCGCCAGCCACCAGCCTTGCCGTCTTCCCGGAAGCTTCCTACCGCTCCCCGACCCTCTGGTCACTGGACGTGCACCGGTCAGCTTTCTTCCTCCGTCCCGCTCCCTTTTTTTTGGTTTTCCTATGCCCCAATTTCTTGTCCTCTTTTCATATGCAATCCAATCTCCAATCTTCCTCACTCTCGTTCAGCTTGCCACAAGGGCAGGCATGCATGTGTGTGAAGAGCCCACTAGCTCCCTCCACCACGAGCTCGCTCAAGTGCGTGAGAGAGCCCAATGTTTTTTAGTCGACTCAAGAAAAGCCGGCAAGTTTTTTGTGTTCCTTCCTCCTCCACTAGCTTGCTCAAGTGCGTGAGAGAGCCCACTGTTCGCAAGCCCCTCTCCCATCCCATCCTCACCTGGCCCCCACCAATCTCCTTCATTCTCATGCAGCATGTCACAAGGGGCGGCATGTGTGTTTTTGCACCACTGGCTCTCCCAAGTGCATGAGACAGCTGTGCTGGAGCCAGCAGAACTTCCACCTCTCTTCAGTATAGTCACAAGGTGAGGTTTTATAGCTTTATCGTTTTAACCCTAAACCCGTTTTTTTTTTTTTTTTTTTTTTTTTTGCTGAGTTCCTTATCATCATCTGGTGTGGTCGCACGTTTTCCTCTAGGTTATATGTTACAAGGTTTTTATACCCTTTCATGTACATTCTCATGCCCAATTTCGAATCGCATCAGGTGGGGTGATGAGAGTCCCAACAAGGATGAGGCCGATGCAGCGCCTGTGAATAAAGCCATGGTGCAAGCCATTCAATCACTTCAACTCCCCTTCGCTCCCGCACCATGGAATAGAGGGCGGCTCGTTGCGAATCGCGAAGCCTTGGTGGCATGGCTTCTAGCAGATGGGAATGCCGATCTCTTGGTCCTGAAGGATGCTCCCTTTCCTGTAGAGGTTTCAAGTAGGTCTGGTGCTTGATATTTGTGAAACCATCGGCCTACTGATGTATTTGGTTTAGTGTTCTTGAGAAAGGTTAGTGAATGAAAATATTGTAATGTAATTCTTGTTGCCGACGAGACCGAGGCTTCAAAAAAGGATGATGCAAGCTCTCAGAATCCAGTTTCCGAACCTGACGAGGGAACGGAGCAACCGCAGCAAGAAAGCACCAAACCGTCTGCTTGGGCGCTCGGCAGCTTGTTCTGACGGCCAGCGAACGTGCAAGTCCCAAATCAGCCTAGCCTTTCCCGCGTCTGCAGGTTACAGTACAGAGATTCTGGCATACGATTTTGCGGTTGGTTGGGGCGACAGAGAAGAGTAGGCTCGGATTGGGTGGTCTGGCTCACTGGTTTGAACCTCTAGGCTCGGGAACAAGGTGATAGTCACTGTAGTTGAAATGATTGGAAGGTACTTCCTGATTGGCAATCGCACTACAATGTGTGTGTCTACTTTCAGCCCGAGTGTATAAATGTTTTCTGCATGGAAAATCGGGTTGGAGTTAGTCCGTGTACCTAGGTTACCAGGATGTGTATTCGCGGCTTCAAGTAAACATCCTTGTTTGGACTTGTATTTCCGTGTTTTTGTTTTCTCGGAGTCTATGCAAGGATCGAGATAGGGTCAGTGAGCTGCTGCACTCCTCTGGTGATGCAACTTCGTGGTCAAGCTGACAGAAGTTGCCCCGGTTATCCTAGAGCTGTCCTTATCCCCAACCAACCTGGCTGACTGTCCGTCACTGGTTTGATTTGAGCAGGTCCGCTGGGAGTTCCCAGAGTTCCCCAAAACGCGTCCCTGGAGATTGTCGTTCAGTGCGGTGAAGTAGGATTCCATATGGTAAGCTCTGGTTCACAATATCAACCTCTTTCAACCGTAAAACACCAAAAAGAACCGTGGCTAGTTGGCGTAAAATGGGACACAGCCCTCGATCCAAACCAACGAACAAATGAAGAAAGGCTGACAAGGGAGATAACACGAGATAAGACATCGCCCTTCACTCCAGCTCTGTTCATTCTGAAAGCTGAGATTTCTGACATTGAGATTGCCGCCTAGCGCCTGGAATTTACATTGCTCTAATAGGCTTCTGCTTGTTGTCCGTCCCAGAGAGCAACGATACCTCCTTCTGTTTGTACGCTCTTTCAAGCTCGGAGCTTCCAGGCGTTAGGTGTTTGAGGCATAAGGTTATCGGAGGGTTTAACCGCCAATTTCAGCCAATTTCAGCTTATTTCTGTCTCTTCCTCTTATTTCTATTTCGCACGATTATAAAAAGCCGCCAAGATGATGGACATGGTGTTAACCCTCCTTATAGCGAGCTGCATGACTTTAACGCAGTTCGCGTTACAGCTTAAGGAGAACATGTCCACGTGTGCATACTTTAAGAACTTCAGCCTGGTTTTAGACTCCGTCGCCAGCATCCACTCCCTGCTCGAAAACTGCAAGAAATTCAAGAACTGGGGAGCGACGACGGATGCGGCGAAGAAGGCGTTTCAGAAGCTGGAGGACCTTCTGAGGAAGTGCACGGGGCTGCTGCAGCGCTGCATCAGCGCGCGAAGCAAGCTTCTGCAGGTTCGTGTCTCTTTTTCCAAAGTTCATATATTTACTTGTTTATGCTATCGCTGCCATTAAACTGCATCGTCTCATATATTAGTCGGCTCGATCTTGTCATTTTTTTTTTTTTTTTTTCTGACGGCATCGTGCAAAGTAAATAGCTAATGTTGAACCTTGTTAGAACGTGTCACCATCAGTCGCTGCACCGCACCTCCCACACAATTTAAATAGCCTGAGAAGCCATCAGGGACACACTGCTAACCTTGCATCGCTCGGCGACCGTACTCAAGTTCTGAGAGGTCGCAAAACTTTCATACAAACAAGTCGCCAAACAAGCCATCAGGGTGACATTGCAAAGCTTGCATCTCTTGATGACTCATTACGAAAGCTGTAATAGTCGTCACATTGAAATATATATCTGTTTCCTTCATTGATTCGCTTTCCACCCGCAGCTGGTGTCAGAGACGACGATCAAGCTCGAAGATTTCGTTACCATGCACGCTGAGCTGGAAGCCGTTGAAATCGTTGTATCATGCAAAACTATCTCTCCCCTTGGATTCCCTTTCCACGCACATTGATTCCCTTTCCGCGCGCAGCTGGTGTCAGATACGACGATCAAGCTCGACGATTTTGTCACCATGCATGCCGAATTGGAAGCCTGCCTGCTCGCCATCCCCACGGACGCCTTGCAGGATGACCTCGTAGCGCAGGTACGCGATAGGACGTTACAAATATTACAAATGTGATTTTTGGGTCGTCTAAAAAATCAGCCGGAGGCCTGCCTGCTCGCGATCCCCAAAGACGCCATTCCTGATGACATCGTAGCGCAGGTACGCAATAGGGTGTTACAAAGGTGGTTACCGGACATGCGTCGCTTCTGTATGTATCTGGGTGCGCGCATGACTTGGAAGCTAGGGTAGTTTGGTATTTGTAGCCGGGCTTTTGAGTCGACTCTCAAGTCACATCGTGGAGGCAGCTAGTCTAAAAATGGAAGGCAGTAGATTTGTCAGGCATGCTACAGTATAGGCTCAGGCCTTGACAGGTTTAATTCTGGCCATTGCGCGTCAAGGGATTTAACCTGCGATTTTTCGCAATATACCAGCCTTTCCTCACTCCCTTTTTAGGCGCCGCAAAAGTCGATTTCTCACATTGTACCAGCCTCCCCGCACTCCCCTCGACTCGACCACCTTTTCGTGAGCGCGTAATGGCTCTTTTAGTGCCGTTTCTATACATTTTATCCATCACTGCCATCTGTTATTCTGTGCGTTCGACATATCGTCAAGGCCGGTCCACGTTGTCCGATTGTCCACGTCAATCGTCGCTTTTAACGCACCCTTAACTTGAAAAACCATCTGGGTGACGAGGAGCCCAAGAACGGGGAGGAGAGGAAGTCGGGATGACCCGCCTGATGATTCCTTCCATGTGTCGTCGTTAACCTGTCCCCCTCGTTTTCCCCTTACGTTTTGGGACGACTCAAGACTTAGCTATCTTCCTGTATGATTTCTTCCTTCCGATCTCCCTTCCTCGTCCAACGTGTCACCTTTTCCGCTTGCTTATCCCTTTTCCATTGTCCCTCCACGCGTACCCCTCTTCCCCCGCCCCACCTTCATTCCCCCGCTCCTTCTCCTTCCCAGCTCCAATCGATGCTCAAGCAAATCCATCCTTTCCGCACTCCCTTCCCCCGCAACCCCTTCTCATGCACTCCCCACCCACACACTCCCCGTTCCCCGCTCTTTCCCTGACCCAGCTCCAAGCGACGCTAAAGCACATCCACGACGCGTGCTTCGAGGACCTTTTCACGGCTGACATGAAGCAGCAGCTGCAGACTCAAGCCCCTTTCCCCTCTCCCCTCTCTCCCCCCTCCCTCTGACGCAGATCCAAGCGACGCTCAAGCAGATTCACGATGCGTGCTTCGAGGACCTATTCACGGCGGACATGAAGCAGCAGCTGCAGTCGCTGCAGCAGGACGGCGGGGGCAGCGGGGGCGCGGGCGTGCGGCGCAGCAGCAGCCTGGGGACGCCCTACACACAGAGCCAGTTCCCCGCGGGGCAGCTGGCGGACGCGCTGGGCATGGACGGCGGAGGCGCATTCCGCAAGGAGCAGGAGGCGCTCGCGCTGGAGAAGCGCAAAGCCGCGGAGAGCAGGGATAAGACGCAAGAGGCGCTCATGGATCAGGTCAGTGGGCGGAACAGGATGGAAGGGCGGAAATGGGGGCGAATCGGGGGAAGGGTAATGTAGGGGTTCTGTGCTGGCGCTGGAGAAGCGCAAAGCCGCGGAGAGCAGAGACAGGGCGCAAGAAGCGCTCATGGATTAGGTCAGTGGGGGGGAGAAAGGGGAAAGAGGGCAATTGAGTGAAGAACGTGGTTAGAAAGGGGGGGGAGCATTGACGCTGGCGCTGGAGAAGCGCAAAGCCGCCGAGAGCAGGGACAAGACGCAAGAAGCGCTCATGGATCAGGTCAGTGGGGGGGAGAAAGGGGAAAGAGGGAAATTGAGTGGAGAAGGCGGGTGAAGGGGGGAGCATTGACTCTGGCGCTGGAGAAGCGCAAAGCCGCGGAGAGCAGGGACAAGGCGCAAGAAGCGCTCATGGATCAGGTCAGTGGGGGGAACAGGACGGGGAAGGGTGTGGGGAATGGGGGAAGGGCGAAAAATGGGGGAAAGAAGGGGGGGGGGGGGGGATGTAGGGGATTGGTGCTGGCGCTGGAGAAGCGCAAGGCCGTGGAGAGCAGGGACAAGGCGCAAGAGGCGCTAATGGATCAGGTCCGTGGGCGGGTTAAAAAAGGGAGAAGGAGAGGGGCAAAAAGAGCGGGGAATGGGATGGAAGGAAGTGAGGGAAGGAGTCGGGAAGGATAGGCGGTTTGTATAGGTCCCGGCTTATTGGCGCTGGAGATGTGCGAAGCCGCGGAGAGCAGGGATAAGGCGCGGAGCGCAGGAGGCGCTCATGGATCAGGTCAGTGCGGGGGTGAGAAATGGATGGGGTGGAGGGAAAGGGGAGGGGGAGAGGGAAGGAATGGAGGGCCGTGTTGTTAGCGCTGTGAGCAGAGGTCGCGGGTATGGAGAGCAAGGACATGGCGCAGGTGCCTGCCCTGGCCTGGCTCAGGTTAGTGGGGGGAGTGACTTTTGAATCGACTCAAAAGTCATCTCGTGAGCAGAGGTCGCGAAGAGCAAGGACATGGCCCAGGTGCCCGTCCTGGCCTGGATCAGGTTGGTGGGGGAAGAAAGTGGGGAGAAGGGGGAGGATTCGCTAGGGATCAGGGGGAGCGAGAGAGGGGAAAAAGGGAGGGGAAGATTCTGGGAATGGGTCGAGCGCGTTGGGAACAAGGCCGGGTTTGGGAGGAGAAGGGCTGGGGAGAAAGGGACGGGAGACAAGGGGATGTGTGGGAAATGTGGTCTGACCTTCCCTATTTCTTCCCATGTACACCCCTCATCAGATTGTGCTTGTGGAGCGGGAGCTGTTTTTACCCCTCCTTCCACCCCCCAACCCCATCCCCACCACCACCGTCTCCCCATACCAAGCTACCCCACCCCCCTCCACCAGATGATGACCTTCCTTATGCGCATGGAACGAGAGCTGGCCTCCTTCAAGGATTCCCAGGCGAATCTCCCCGCAACCTCGCCCTTGGCATGTTCCCACCAACCCCTCCTCCCTTCTCCACACGCCCCCCCTCCCTCTCCCCCCCACTCGCCCTCACACCCACCAGCTGATCACCATCCTGATGCGCATGGAGCGCGAGTTCCCCGCCTTCATGAAGTCCCAGGCGAAGGTCCCTCACAACCTCACCTGTTTTTACCGCTCACCCCTGTCCCCTACTTCCCCATCAGCTGATCACCATTCTGATGCGCATGGAGCGGGAGCTCCCCGCCTTCAAGGAGTCCCAGGCAAAGCTCGCCCGCACCTCCTCACCTGTTTTTACCCCCCTTCACACCACCCACCCCTGTCCCCATACCACCCCACCAGCTGATCACCATTCTGATGCGCATGGAGCGGGAGCTCCCCGCCTTCAAAGAATCCCAGGCGAAGCTCGCCCGCGAGCGAGCCTCCGCAGCAGCCGCAGCCAGCTCAGGCACCGGGCAGCGTGGCAGCAGCGGCCTCTCAGGCACCTCGTCCGTCCCCAAGTCGCCCAAAGAGCTTCTCAGCCCCACCCGCCGCCGCATGATGCTGCTGGCAAACGCTGTGGATGATATGACTGGGGATGCTGCTGGGCTGTCGCTTACTGGGAGCGGTGGGAGCGGGTCGGGTCGGGAGCGCCGAAGCAGACGGTCAGGTGCGGAGGGGGGAGGTGCGGGGGAGGGTGGGCGTGAGTCGCAGCATGATAGGTACGACTCGCAGACCCAGCAGCAGCAGCAGCATTCGCGGTTTAGGGATGGGGAGGGGGATGGAGGCGGGCGAACGGACGACGATCGGCACAAGGACCGGAACAGAGCGGTGCGAGGGGAGAGGGAGCATAGGAGGAGCACCGAGCGTAGGGACCGAGGCAAAGACGAACCTGGTTCCGGGACTGCCATGCCAGGCTCTAAAAGCACTGGGGGGGCAGGCGCGGGCGACGCCCGCTCCAAGTCACCGTTTGACATGGGCGGCAGAAAGGGCGGCGACGATTTGGAGTATATGGATGACCCGACACGGGCTCGTACCGGCAGTTCGAGTGGGAGAGAGAAGGATAAGATGGGGAAGACGGGCAGCGGCGGGAGCTCTGCTAGTAGCGTCAGTGGCGGGTCACGTACCCGGTCTAAGACCGGGCGCACTAGCAGTGTGGATAAGCCCGGAGGGAATGGGGATATGGGGGGAATGGCGGGGGATTTTGGTGGGGAGGGCGGTGGGACAGGTGCGGAATGCTCCGATCCTGAAGCTGACCTGGCAGCATATGATCCCGAGGCTCCGCAGCAGATCGTGCAGAATCTGCTGTTTGGGTCGGCGGAGGAGAAAGGCCGGGCGGCGGGGCTTGTCGGGTGGTACGCGTCCATCTCAGCTGCTAATAGGTCAACATTCCGAGAGGCTGGTGCGGTAGACGCACTGCTGCCGCTGGCTGTGGGTGGGCCGAGGGACCCTAAGGGAGCCGAATCCGCGCTTGCTGCTCTGTTGAACCTCTCGTCAGATGAGATGGGGAAGCAGGAGCTTCTCACGCACCTCCCGCTGCTGATCCAGGCACTCAAACGCGCGGATTTCTCCCCTGCAGCCGGCTCATCCGCAGCGAATGTGATGAAATGCGCCGCGTCCTTTTCAGACCGCGCCCGGGGGCTGGTTATCGATGCAGGAGCAGTCCCACCGCTGGTGAAGCAGCTCACCGGATCGAACAACGAAGGGATGCATCCAGGGTATGATACCCCGTCCAGGCAGGCGGCAGCAGAGGCTGTAGCGTGTCTCGCTCAATGCGAGTCTCAGCGGAGCAAGCTGGTGGGGGAGGGGGTGATTCCCGCCCTGGCGGTGGCGCTACAGGCAAATCTGAACAACGAAACAGTGGTCGCCACGTGTCAAGCTCTCTCAAGGCTTGCGACGGTGCCGGACGGGAGGGAGGCGATGGGCGAGGCGATCCCGTCGCTGGTAACCGTGTTACGGCTGGATTACCCTGCGGCGGTGAGGGATGCGGTGGAGGCGCTGCTGCAGCTGGCGAAGCACAGCCCGACGCACAGAAGCAATATCAGGAACAGCGGAGGCATGCGGTACTTGCGGAATGTGTTGCGATCGGGCCCACCCACTCTCCATCCAAAGGTGCGTGCAGTGGTGGTGATTACTGTGCTTTTTTTTCCTATTATTTTTTGTTTTAGCCTTTCTCAAAATGTGATGCGTTATTGCTGCTGTGTTTCTTGCTTGGACGTTTTGCTGACTATGGCTGCGATGTTCCTTGTGGTGTACTTTGGGTGGTGGCTGACTGAAAATTTGGGGTTGTGAGCTGGGATGGTTTGGTGTGGGGTCTGTTTTTTGCTGCGCCTGCTGCTGACACGTGCTGATTTACAGGCTATGGAGCTGTTGGCAGCTCTTTTCTCCTAACTGGTCCTGTTATGGGCTATCTCCATCATTATTGCAAATACTACTTAACTTGCAGCCCTACCTTGCCTGACATGTGGCCACGGATTTGTGCGTGTCTAGACACGTCAGGATGCATTCCCTGTTATCAAGGGGCCCTTTCCCTTCATGCCTAGATTTTAGAAACATGTGTAGTCCAGAATTCTAGTAGGGGGTAGTGAAAGCTTGGGTTTGTTGTAATGTACGATTCAGAAATGTTTACTATTCATGTTCACTCTTGTATCGGGCATTTTGAAAACGCGCACCAGACGGTCTTGCGAGAATCACGGCGGCAGATTACAAGAACACGGCCATTTTGTCAGAGCCCTCTGCCAGGGAATGTGGACAGACCAGCAAAAATCTTCAGGTTTCTGAATCGGTATGCTAAAATACAAGTCGTTACAGTCTGGTTCAATGTGGTGATCGGCGGTGGATCACTGACATGACTTCCCTGACATTCCTGGTTTCGTTGCCAAGTTTCACAGTAATCAAGTTTCGTTGACTAGTCTAGAACCACCAGTCTGAAGTAATGTCGTAAAAACTCTCCCTAATCCCTCATGGCCCACCGAACTGAACCGAGCTTTCCCTTCTGTCCTGTCTCGCAGCGAAGTGTTGCATGGTAGTCTATTACTAGCTGGATGGGCCCGTGAGGGAACCGCCTGCGATTTGATACAAGGACACCGCATAATGGAGTGTTTCGGCCTGCATGCACGAGAATCTTGAGCCCACTCAATATTCTTTCTTCTCGATTGGTAAAAAAACGTGATGTAGCAGTATGCGGGAACCCTTCATAGGTTCGCTATCATGGTGCGGTTCGTGTCACATCAGTGGTAACGTGTTTCAGCGTAGTGATGTCACATGACTACTTCGAGAAATCCTTTCAAAAGCGATAGAAATCCGTTCGGTTTGACATGACACCTTTGCCGTCATGCAATGGCAATCCTCTGCCATATTGCTTGTCGCAGAGACGATCATCTCGACGGGTACTAGACGTGACAGACGCCAAGCAGAATCCGTCTCGGTGAATCCATTCTTCATCCTGGCTCATTCAGTGCTTGTCGTGGGTATAAAAAGAGACTCGTAGCCGAAAGCAAGCAGATCAAAGGTCTTAAATCTGAGCTTTGTATCTAGAAGCTATCCTGACAAAGATGGCGTCGCTCAAATTGCTTACCAACCCAACTGCAATCCTCTGCGTGCTGATTTTCTCAGGTGACTTCATACTCCTTGTGTTTCCCTTCGGTTGTGTTGGTTTTGTCATGTGTGTCTCATTTTTTGTACCAGCTACTCGTAGACCTTGAAGCAGGTTGTCAGTCATGGATGCACTATTTTCGAGATCAGTTGAATCTAAGATCTTAAAGCCATTTGCACATTTCCTTACTAAAATTTCTGGATTCCCAAACGGCGGTTGCAGGATTAACTGTGGCGTTGGCATCTCGTGGCAAGGCGCTGGGAATTCGTGGAGCCACACAAGATGCTCATGAAATTCATACCGATTCCCTTGTCAGACACCGCACTCTGAGCGACTCCATTCCAGCAGAGGTGTCAGAAGTTCCCTTCAACTCTCTTGCTGGCACTGGTGGTAACCGCCTCAGCTATAACAGCGGCGGGAATCAGTTGCTTTCCGACAACTCGCTTCAGGCAGCTATGTTTTCTCGCCAGATTGTTGTTAATTACAGCTCACCACCGCCCCCACCACCGCCATCATCACCCCCACCACCGCCATCATCGCCCCCACCACCGCCATCATCGCCCCCACCGCCGCCATCATCGCCCCCACCACCGCCATCATCGCCCCCACCACCGCCATCATCGCCCCCACCACCACCATCATCGCCCCCACCACCACCACCATCACCATCTGTCAACCACCCTCTTTCAGGCCTCTGGTCTTTCCTGTCTGGTTTACTCCACCACGGAGGGCCGTCCCCTCCCAGTCCTCCCACTGTAGCAATCTCCTCACCAGCATTATCACCACCTTCGCCACCATCATCGACCTCTTTGCCATCAATTCAGTCGCCATGTGTCAACCAACCACTTTCAGGCATCTGGTCTCTTCTCCCGCCCTTCCTCCGCGTTCGTGGTGGCAACAGCTGTAATGGTGGTGGCAGCAGCAGTGTTGGTGGGGAGGCGGCTGCTGCGGCGGCGGCAGCAGCAACGACAGTAACTGGGCGTATTGGTGGGGAAGTGGGAGAGGCGGCGGAGATGCTGATAGGACGCGGTGGTGGTGGCTTTGGCAGCAACGGTGTTGGTGGGGAGGAGGGGGTGGCGGGAGCGGCGGCGGCGGCGGCGGGACGTGTTGGTGGGGAAGTGGGGGAGGCGGCGGAGATTCTGACAGGACGCGGTGGTGGTGCCTTTGGGAGTGGCGGCTCTGGCCTCGATGTAGTTGCTTTCCCTTACACCAGGTTGAATGGACGCAATGCCAGCAGCATGGCCAGCCAGGCCAGTCGTGCCAGTCGTGCTAGCCGCGCCAGTCGTGCCAGTCGTGCCAGCCGTGCAAGCAGGAATGCACGCCCCAGCCGCCTCACCTGATATGAGCTTTGAATATGCAAGTTTGGCCTTTGTTGCATGCTGCTATTTTCATCTATGATGTTTCTTGGCAAGGTGCTTGATTAACGGTGTACCTTCCTCAGTTTGGCGTGTTCCTTTCTGAACAACCCTGAAAAGTTCCTAGGGCTTAGCGTGTTCCGTGAGTAGCCAATCATTTGCCCGCAAGAAGACCGCCGCCAAGTCCTCAGGATTCGTCCACGAAGCTCGATATCCTCAACAAGAGGATGCGAGCAAAACGAAAAACAGCACTGATGCCACGTCGGCGTTCGCGAAGTATTGTTCATGCTCAGTTCCTTTCTGGGATGCTTCCCTTTCGTCGATCTGGTCGTACATGACATCGCCTGTCGCCGCCGACTCGTCGCATTGCCAGGCCAACCTCCAGGCCAAATCCATCTTTGCTGAGTTGTGGCGACATCAGGCGGGAATACAGTCGCACAAAATTTGACCGGAATCCCATAGCCATATGACGTGGCAAAGCGCCCCACAGCCTCGCTGGGCCCCTTGGGCTGGTTCGCGGGACACGATGTGCTGTTTTACCCCCCTACCTGCCCCGCCCTCCCCGCCCCTCTTTTCCCCCACCCCACCAAATCTGCCGGCAACCTCGTTGGCGGAACACTTGTCAACGCTTCCGCCAGTCCCCTCTGTTCCCTAGAATTTCATATCTCACCACACACGCGCCACCCTTTCTCTTTCTCTCTCGAACCTTCCCTTGACCACTTCCCTCTCTCAACCGCCTATTAACTCTGTCCAACCCCCTCAACTGTTTCCAAAACTTCCTCCCAACCGCTTGTAGCGTTTGTGTGTGATGCCTCCTCTCCTCTCTCCCCCACTCGTCCTTTCACCCCTATCCCTCCCCTTTCTCTCCCCCTGTCCCTCCCCCTTTCCCTCCATTTTTGCTTACCCTAAATTCTGGCTTTACTGCAGATTTGCATTTGCTGGTACTCCTCTGCTGCCGTTTCTTAGTCGCAGTCAACCTGATTTAGGGACCTGCTTTTCTTGGTTTCATAACAGACCTGTATTCTCGCTCCTGTCTGCGCGACCTGTTTTGTGCGGTCTCCGCATAAAGCCATTGCACGAGCTTTCCGTTAAGAGCGTTAAACCGGCGTTTTATCACTGTTAGCATCCCAGTGTGCTCGTGACCGCAAAGCCCTGCTCCGTTATAGTGTTCTCCGCGATTCTCGCATAGTAACTCGCGCGCAGTCCTATTCGCAGCACAGCTGCTTGACATCCAATACAGGCCTGTTCCGAACCAATCACCGTGGTCCTTAACTCGTACATAAGAGCCTCCTCAGGACGACTTTCGAGGCGCCTCAGAAGTCTGCTCCGAACAGTCACCCTGGTCCCTAACTCGTATATGAGGGCCGTCTCGGCATCCTGCCTGCCTCCCCGTCAGCATCCCCTCGTCGCTCCCCTCCGCTCTCCCCCCCGCACTCCCCTCCTCGCTCCTCTCCCCGCTCCTCTCCGCGCTCCCCTCCTGGCGTCCCAGCGTCCCAGAATCCCCCATGGCTCTCCTCGGCGCCCAACCCATCATCTCTTCTGTTCCTCTCTCAACCAACGCCCTAATCGCGGAAAAAAATCATTTGTTGAGAAAAAAAGCTCATCACTCGGACCTGTGTGGTCTGCGCAGCACGTTGTTTTACACAGGCAGCCCTCTTACCAGCCGCGGCAACAGGCTTAAACAGGTACCAGCAGCAGAGAAAGAATCGTTTAAGCATTTGTTGGCGAGACGTTCGTTGGCGAGAAGCGTAGAGAATAATCGTAGCTCGCAGCCGGTGTTACGTCCGCGTGGTTCGGTGCTGGTTCCAGGTGGTTCGGGGCTGCGTGCGGGTGGTACGGAACGACGTTCGGGTGGCTCGGGGCTAGGCTCGGGTAGTTTTTCCAGTGAAACCCGCAGTGGCATTTTTTTGGGGTCCGCGGTTCGTAGTTCAAGCTTTTCAAATATCGCTCGCTTGTCGAGAGTTTCGCATCGGGTCGCTAACGCCGACGGGGTGTCGTCGCCTGGTTTCGCACGCGACTCGTCCGAGCGATTTTTCTCGGCACGTACCGGCCTCTCGTCGCCTCTTTGGTCGCCGTGTCTCCTCTCGAGCGTCGCTAGCGCTCGCTCGCTTCGCACGTTACCAACATGTACCGTTTCGCCTCCGTCGGCGAGGTCGTTCCAGTTCTCCTCCGCGATTCGCATAGGAGCCCTTGGCCCGGTCGCACGGACGTCGCACGCGCGATCGTTCCGGCGATCCGCGTTCGGTAACCAGTCACGAACGAGGACCGGCCAGCACCGTAACTCGTCTGCACCCATGTAAGTGTTTACATCTGTTAGTTTTCTAAGAGATTATATATGTATATGTCTTCAGGACCTCGGTGAGTTATGAGACATCTCAATGGTTGCCCGTGCCCTTCCCCGGCAGGACACCGCGACGGTCGTTGAGGGGGCGACGGCGCGCGCAGAAGAGCCGAGTCTCCGTGCAAGAAGCGGTGGAGGCGCGGATTGAACAGATGTGCGATCACAGCAGCAGCACCACCACCACTTGTGTAAGAGACAGCAGTAGCGGAAGCAGCAGCAACGGCAGCAGTAACAGCTGTGTGAATGACAGCATCACTAGCAGCAGCGGCAGCAGCGCTGGTTCTGGGAGCTTTGCTAGTCATGTTATGGCAGCGGGTTTGTGCGGAGCGATTGTAACGAAGGGGGAAGCAGCAGCAGCAGCGGGGGGAGCGGTGCTTGATTGTGACATGAGCGGGGTCTTGGATTTAGATGCGAATTTCGTGCCCGGGGCTGATGACGTGGCGCAGCTAGAGAGAGTGCTGGCGCAAGCTGACGTGGCGTCTGTTACCGAGTCTAGCGGACGAGCCGGCATTCCCAATGCGGATTCGTTCAACCCCTTGGGATTGCCGCCAGACGTTTTGGTGGTTCCAAACAACCTGGATGGATATTCATCCCCGTTAAGAGACCAATCAATACTTTCGTTACAGGATTGGGTGAACTGGTTCGAAGGGCGCGATTCCAACGTGAATGTAGACAGAAGGGAGTCTGAGCGGGACGCGTGGGGAATCGGGAAGTGGGAGAAGTGGGAGAGGGGGGTGCCGAGTGAGGGTTCTGAGAAAGGGTTGATTATTCCAGATGCCCTTCCGTTTCTGAGGGAAGAATCCCCGCTATTGGACGACTCGTCTTGCGCAAGTAACGAATTTGTGCTGCCGGATTTCCAAATACAACAGCTGCAGCAGAAGAAGCAGGAGCAGCATCAGAACGAGTTTGCAGAAGCAGTGGAATTCCACCCGCTGCAGCGAAAATCAGCTGAGGGGGAGGGGGGCGAGAAGCATGTGGGGGAGGAGGAAGCGGGGAAGCTATCATTGGAAGAGGCGTCGTCTGCGTTGGCTGCCGAGCCTGTCCATTCCACCGAACCTGCCGAACCTGCCGAGCCTGCCGAGTCTGCCAAGGCTGCTCATCCTGCTGCGCTGAGAGGTGAGTTGCCATGAATAGTGCAGCAGGATGCTGCTCGCCTGCAGCCTTGCCTGCCGTGGCAGGGCTGTTTCTCTTCAACTGCTGCTTTTCTCCCTTGCATGTCCTCGTTCTCTCTTCTCCGTTTCTCCCTTCTCTGTTCCTTTCTCCATTTCTTCCTTTCAACTTTCCCACTGCACCGTGTTCGGCTTCAGGTTCAGCAGCTGCTTCCTTTCTCCCTTCCCTTTCCCGGTACCATCATCCCTTGGCTTCCCTCCCTCCCTACCGCTGCAGCCTTTTAGTGAACGTACATCTTCAACTGCTACTTTTCTTCCCCTCCCCCCCCCCCCTCTCCACCCCCCTCCCCCCTCCCTCCCTCCTCCCTCCCTCCCTCCACCCTCCCCCCTCTCTCCCTCCCTCCCTCCCTCCCTCCTTCAACTGCTTTCCCTCCGCTTTGGCGAGCACTCGTGTTGAGCACTCCCTTCCCTTTTCCCTCTCCTTTCCCTTTCCCCCCTTTCCCTCCCTGCCGCTGCAGCGTTCTACTGGACATACGTGTTCAACTGCTTTGGCGAGCACTCGTGTTGAGCACTCCCTTCCCTTTTCCCTCTCCTTTCCCTTTCCCCCCTTTCCCTCCCTGCCGCTGCAGCGTTCTACTGGACGTACGTGTTCAACTGCTTTGGTGAGCACTCGTGGCGATTTGCGGGAGCAGCGTTGCTCGCGCTGCTGCATAACTCGCTGCTGCCCGTGGCTGTAGCCAGCTTCGTCAGCCAGGTGAGGCGCTTGCCTTGTGCTTACTCACGTGCACAGCACAAATGCATGCTGCACTTGTCACTCGCTGCTCGCGCTGCTGCACCACTCGCTGCTGCCCGTGGCGGTGGCCAGCTTCGTCAGCCAGGTGAGGCGCCTGCACTCAGTTAGTGAGGCCCTTGCATTCACTCACGCACATTCGTGCAAATATTCATAGGCACGCCTCCCATGGGCGAGCATTAAGGACCCTCGGCTTCATGCATTTCATGCCCTCTCCATTCCTTTTCTCCAGAGGCTCACTGGATTGGCCTCTGAAGTGGCGTTTGAGAGGGACTGGGTGATCAAGGCACGCCTCCCATGGGCGAGCATTAAGGACTCTCGGCTTCATGCATTTCATGCCCTCTCCTGTTCTTTCCGAAACAATCTCTCTCCCCCCTTTTCCCTCTCCCCCCAGTTGGTGGTATTTATAGGCGCTCCCCTCGTGGGAGAGCTTATGTACTCCGCTCCTCGTGGGAGAGCTTATTGACTCCGCTCCTCGTGGGAGAGCTTATTGACTCCGCTCCTCGTGGGAGAGCTTATTGACTCCGCTCCTCGTGGGAGAGCTTATTGACTCCGCTCCTCGTGGGAGAGCTTATTGACTCCGCTCCTCGTGGGAGAGCTTATTGACTCCGCTCCTCGTGGGAGAGCTTATTGACTCCGCTCCTCGTGGGAGAGCTTATTGACTCCGCTCCTCGTGGGAGAGCTTATTGACTCCGCTCCTCGTGGGAGAGCTTATTGACTCCGCTCCTCGTGGGAGAGCTTATTGACTCCGCTCCTCGTGGGAGAGCTTATTGACTCCGCTCCTCGTGGGAGAGCTTATTGACTCCGCTCCTCGTGGGAGAGCTTATTGACTCCGCTCCTCGTGGGAGAGCTTATTGACTCCGCTCCTCGTTGGGCTGCATTCACCCCACCCTCGCTCCCCTTCCCCACCCTACCCACCCCACATCCACCCTCTCTCCCCCCCCCCCTCTTGCCCCCCCCCTCCCCTCCCTTGCCCCCTTCCCCCAGTTGGTGGTATTTATTGGTGCTCCCCTCGTGGGAGAGCTTATGGACTCCGCTCCTCGTGTGGCTGCATTCAGCACCATCTCTGTTGCTCAGGTGAGTTCTCAGGTGGATTTCCTGGTGACTTTCAGGTATCGTTAAGTGACGCTTTTTTTTTTTCCCTTCGGTTTCTACTACCCAAATTTCACCCTCCTATCCTCCATATAGACGGACTTGTGCCATGGTTATTAGCAGCACTCTCTACTTCCCCGCTCATTCCATTGCTCCCACGCTAATGTTTTTTTCCGTTTCATCCTCTTGATTCATTCATTCGTGCACAGACCACTGCCATGGTAGTAGCAGCTCTAGCCACCATACACGCCATTCAACTCGCCGCCCCAGCTGCTGCAGGCGCAGTTGCCACGTCAGCCGCCACGTCAGCCGCCACGTCAGCTGCCACGTCAGCGCTGGCTGCCCTCCCGGGCACGGCGGTGCTGCGGCAAGTGTGGTTCGTGGTGCTGGTGGTGGCTGGCGCTGTGGAGAGACTTACTGGATTGGCGTCTGGAGTGGCGTTTGAGCGAGACTGGGTGATCGTGGTGAGTGTGTGAGAGGGTCAGCTATGCTCTGCCACAGGTGGGTGGTTCGTGGTGCTGGTGGTGGCTGGCGCTGTGGAGAGGCTCACTGGGTTGGCCTCTGGAGTGGCGTTTGAGCGAGACTGGGTGATCGTGGTGAGTGTGAGCGTGAGCGTGAGTTCCTCTTTCTCCTTCTCAACCCCATCAGTTTGGTGTTTCTGTTTACCTCCCAGAGTCCCAGCCCTCCCAACCCTCTCAGCTGCCATTTGAGTTGACTTAAAGTAATCCCTCCAACCTCATCCGTGCTTCTGCTGAACTCCCCTCGCATCCCCCTCAGCTGGCAGGACAGGGTCGGCCCGTGGCTCTCGCCAACGCCAGCGCCTACGGCAGCTGCATTCGAGTCACTTATGGGAAATCTCATTCTCACAAATAACCCCATGATGTGTGTGCTTCTGCTTACCCCGTTTTCCACCCCCCTCAGCTGGCAGGACAGGATCGGCCCGTGGCTCTCGCCAATGCCAACGCTATGCTGCGAAGAGTAGACCTGTGCTGCGAGGTGAGGGAGGGTGGTGATTTTTCTGTTAGCATTTGGTACTTTACGGTACCCTTGAACCGTGGCTCTGGTCAACGCCAACGCCATACTTTGAAGAGTAGACCTGTGCTGCGAGGTGAGGGGGAATGGGTTGGCTTGTAGAGCAAGTAATCCGATTTCCTGTGGTGGTGCAACAATATATTGGAATTGGCGCAGGGAATCGGATTACTTGCTCAACCACAGGGAATCCGATTCCCCGGGCAATGATGAGCCTTCCACTGCCCTGTCCGGGGCAGTGGTGCCTCTGTCCGGGGCAGTGGTGCCTCTGTCCGGAGCAGTGGTGCCTCTGTCCGGGGCAGTGGTGCCTCTGTCCAGGGCAGTGGTGCCTTTGTCCAGGGCCGTGGCTTGTTGTGCTCCGTCAGCCGCATTTATTCCCTCTTTGCCTGTCCTCCTTTCTCCCCTCTCTCGACTCACTTTCTTGTGCCAGCTCTCTCTTTTCTCCCTCCTCTCCTTTTCCCGCCCCCTCCCTTCTTCCCCATCAGGTAGCAGCGCCGCTCATCTTTGGCTGGCTCATTGTTGCCTTTGGCCCGCTGATTTGCGCCCCACCCTCTGCCACTGCCCTTCTATTCTTGACGTCTTCTCATCCCCCTCTTCCCTTTCTTCTCAATCCCTCTCCCCATCAGGTAGCAGCGCCACTCATTTTTGGATGGCTCATTGTTGCATTCGGACCACTTGTCTGTGCCAGAGCATGTGTCGCCCTCGTTGCTCTCTCGCTCCCTGCCCTGGTATGTCTTTTGCTCCTTTTACCATCTGATTTCTAGGTGTAATAATCACCTCAATCCAAAGTACCCTTCTCGCTTTCTGCACTGGTATGCTTATGCTTCCTGCTGCTCTGCCTTTGCCTCCTGACACACGAGATGACTTTTGAGGTTTCCCCTTCCTCATTTCCTTTCACCCTTCTCTCCTCCACCTTCACCCCCACAGGTCGCCCTCACCACGCTCACCAACCGTCTCTCCCACGGACCACTCAGCAGAGCAAACCTCGGCGTATCTACAGAGGTTGCATTGGCTTTGCTGACATGAGTTTTCCACTTCCTATTTTCCTCTTGCCCCCCTCTCCTCCCGTCACCCCCACAGCTCGCCCTCACCACGCTCACCAACCGTCTCTCCCACGGAGCTCTCAGCAGACCTCGGCCTATCGACAAATCCCCCTTGGAGCCCTTGGAGGAGCCACAGCTGCCCTTACAAGACCAGAGGGCTGAGGGAGCCCAGGTTACGGACTCTGTGTCGAGATTGCCACCTCTTGGTGTCGTTGAGAATGCTCGAGAATGGAAGACTCAAGAATGGAACAGTCAAGAGTGGATGCAACAGGAGCCCTCGTCCCAATCATCCGCATCACAGAAGTCCTACGCACTGCACTCCTTCTCTTCACCTCCACCCGCGCCCCTCCTCCCCCTCCCCACCCCCTCTCTGTTCAGCAACGCTCAAGCTGCAGAACCCCCCGTCTCGCTCTGCTGCTGCCACCGCTCTTGCTTGCACTCTGTGAACGTGCCACATGCATCGGAAGGGATGTTAGGTGTTGAGCATCACAGGCACACTCTTCTGCGTGCGTGCAGCACTGGTCGAGGTTGTGGAGCCGCTGCTGCTGCTCCTTCTGCTGCTGCTGCTGCTGCTGCTGCTGCTGCTGCTCCTGCCGCTACTGGTGCTGCAGAGAGTGTTGGGAAAGCGCTGGATAGAGCAGTGGGGGGCCTGGGGAGAGTGACAGAGGCAGCAGGGAAAGCACTCGATAAAGCAGCGGCCGGGTTGGGGAAAGTGGCAGAGGCAGCAGGGAAGGGGTGGCGGTGCTATGTGCAGCAGGCAGTGATGCCCGCCAGTGCAGCCTACGTGCTGCTCTTCTTCAATGCTGTGCTGTCGCCAGGGGGGCTCCTTACGTCCTTCCTCTCCCAACACGGTAAGGGATTGTCTCGTATGCCACTCGTGCCAGTCATCCCTACTTATGCCTAGGACAGCAGGCAGTGATGCCCGCCAGTGCAGCCTACGTGTTGCTCTTCTTCAATGCTGTGCTGTCGCCAGGGGGACTGCTCACCTCCTTTCTGTCGCAGCATGGTAAGGGATTTGCCTGTTCACCACTACCCATGCCTAGTGCTCGCTGTGATGCCCGCCAGTGCGGCCTACGTGTTGCTCTTCTTCAGTGCTGTGCTGTCTCCAGGGGGACTCCTTACGTCCTTCCTGTCGCAGCATCGTAAGGGATAGGGGTTTTCAGAGGTGAGACAATGACAGGGGTTTTCAGAGTAATTTGTGCTGCCATGGGCTTTGAGCTTTTAAGACAAGTCATATCTTCCCTTCCTCCGCTCCCTTCCTCCGCTCCCTTCCTCCGCTCCCTTCCTCCGCTCCCTTCCTCCGCTCCCTCCCTCCTTCCCTCCCTTCCTCCGCTCCCTCCCTCCTTCCCTCCCTCCCTCCCTCCTTCCCTCCTTCCCTCCTTCCCTCCCTCCCTTCCTCCTTCCCTCCTTCCCTCCTTCCCTCCCTCCCTTCCTCCTTCCTTCCTTCCCTCCCTCCGTCCCTCCGTCCCTCCCTCCCTCCCTCCCTCCCCCCTGCCTACATCTACAGGCGTGCAGATGTCAGTGATAGGCGCGTTCAGGGGCGCCTGTGCTGCCATGGGCTTTGCGGCCACCTTCGTTTCGCCACCGCTCGTGGCACGACTGGGTGTGCTACAGGTGCGGTGCGGTGCAGTGTGGTTCTGGAAGGGTTCAGTGGTGCGCTGTAGTAGTGCAGTGCGGTGCAGTGGGGGGGGGGATGCGGTGCAGTGAGAGGGGAATGAGTGTGCTGTTATGGGATTTGCGGCCACCTTCGTTTCGCCACCGCTCGTGGCACGACTGGGTGTGCTAAGGGTATTGTGGTGATGTGGGGTGCAGTGGGGTGCAGTGGGGTGCAGTGAGGGAGGAAAGAGCTCTTTGCCATCACACACACTCCCACCCCCCCCTCCCCTTCCCCTGATCAACCTTTGTCTTTTCAATGCCGGCACTGCTTCTCTCATTTTCTGCCAGGCATTGCCTCCTCCTCTCCCCTACTGGCCTTCGTGATTTCTCCTCTCTCTCGCACACCCCATTTTCCCAACTATCCCTCCTCTTGCCATGTCATGTCGTCACTTGCGCATACATTCATTATCCCATGCTAGCAGTGCTGCTATCTTCCTGTAATGAGAGTGTTTTTAAAACGTCTCAAAAACACTCTCAATTCCCAAGCTAGCAGTGCTGAAACGCTCTCTTCCTCCAAGCTCCCCTCCTCTCCTCGCCCTCACAACGGCCTTCTTCTCCTCTTTCTCACGCCACTTTCTTTTTCTCTCTTCTTTTTTCTCACGCTACCTGCCCTCCATCCAACCAGGCTGGCAGTGCTGCGCTTGTCTTTCAAGCTCTCCTCCTTGCCCTCGCAGTGGGCATCTTACACACGCTCTTTTCCCTCCCCCACCCTCCCATCCGATCCCATCACGTCCCCCTTACACCCTCCCTTTTTCCATCCAACCAGGCTGGCAGTGCTGCACTTGTCTTCCAGGCTCTCCTCCTCGCCCTCGCAGTGGGCATCTTACACACGCTCTTTTCCCTCCCCCACCCTCCCATCCGATCCCATCACGTCCCCCTTACACCCTCCCTTTTTTCCATCCAACCAGGCTGGCACTGCTGCACTTGTCTTCCAGGCTCTCCTCCTCGCCCTCGCAGTGGGCATCTTACACACGCTCTTTTCCCTCCCCCACCCTCCCATCCGATCCCATCACGTCCCCCTTACACCCTCCCTTCTTTCCATCCAATCAGGCTGGCAGTGCTGCTCTCGTATTCCAAGCCCTCCTCCTCGCCCTCGCAGTCCCCATCTTCTCCTCTCTCTCACGCTGCTTTCCTTCTTTCTCTTTTCTTTTCTCTCACCCTGCTGCGCCTTCTCTATTCCAGGCTGGCAGTGCTGCTCTTGTCTTCCAGGCTCTCCTCCTCGCCCTTGCAGTCGCCATCTTCTCCTCTCTCTCACGCTGCCCTCCGGTGCTGCAGCAGGGAATGCTGCTGCTCTTCCTCCTCCTCGTCGTGAGTCTCTCTCTCTCTCACACACACACACTCACTCTCACACACATGCCCTCTCTCACATACTGCCCTCCGGTGCTGCAGCAGGGGATGTTGCTGCTCTTCCTCCTCCTTGTTGTGAGTCATCTCTCCTTTCCTTACTAGCAATCCTTTCTTTCTCACGCTGGCCGCCAGTGTGCCTGCAGGGGCTACTGCTGCTCTTCCTCCTCCTCCTCGTGAGTCTTCTCTGCTCGTATCAAATCAACTGTAATGAGCCTTTCGTTCCCCATGTGCCCTCCCGCATGGGCCACTAAAGAGGATCGATAATATCAGTTATCGCCACCTCTCGGTACCCCTCGGTACCTCTCGTCACCGCTCCCACCTACTCCCTTCGCCCAAGCCCTTACCCTCCAGGTGCTCTCCCGAGTGGGCCACTGGACGTTTGAAATCGTCGACTCTCAGATCATTTAAACCGCCACCCCGGCTCTGCCAATCTCACTTCCTCACCTTCACCCACTCACACTCTACCTGTTCCCTACCCACGCGTGTGTCTCCAGGTGCTCTCCCGACTGGGCCACTGGACGTTTGAAATCGTAGACTCTCATCACCTCTCGCTCCTTTACCCTTCCCAACCCCTTGCCCTCCAGGTGCTTTCTCGAGTGGGCCACTGGACGTTTGAGATCGTCGATTCTCAGATCATCCAGACAGCCATCCCACCCGCCTCGGCCAATCTCATTGGCACAACCGAGATCGCCCTCGCCAGCCTGGCAGAGCTGCTAATGCTGGGACTCGCCATAGTCGTTCACGATCCCAAGCACTTTGCTGCTCTCGCTGCCATGTCCATGGCTGCTGTTTTCGCTGCGGCTGGGGTTTACTGCTCCTGGCTGGCTCGGCCCGATCCGAGGATCGAGAAGCTGTTTCCGAACCAGCCGGAGGTTCGGTGGGGGGAGATGTTTGGGAGGCGGGGGAGTGGAAGGGGGAGGAAGTGAGGAGCGTGTGTGGTTGGGGTATCGAGACGGAGATGTGTTGAGAAGGGAAGAGATGTTGATTGGTGGCTGTGCTGCTGCTGACGCCGGACCTGTTTGGTCCGGAGGTTGAGCCAGCCTAAGTGCTTGCCGAGCCTGACCTTCGGACAACACTGGTGCGAAGGTGAGAAAAAACTTGGGGAGCAGCGGTGAGCTGTCGACTGTTGAGTCGGCTCAAAAGCTATTGGTGCCTGCTGGTGTGAGTTGTGACTGACGCTGTAGGTGTCTGCTGGTGTGACTGGCGCTGACGCTGCTGCTGTCTGCTGGTATGGCTGACGCTGTGAGTTAAAAAACATTGAGGCGCTTCAGAGATCTTGGTGGTGTGACTGAAGTTATTTGGTCTGGCTGAGAGGTCTGGGGACTGGGTGATGCTGAGTGGTGCTGCAGAATGAGCTGCTGGTCCTGCTGATGTGACAGCAGCAGCAATATTGGTGTTACTTTTCGGAATTCTCAGAAGGTGTTACTTTGAGAATTTTCAACAGTACTTTGGTGTTAGCGGGTGATGCTGAGTGGTGCTGCAGACAGAGCTGCTGGTCCTGCTGATGTGACAGCAGAAGCAGCTGTAACGGCAACAGCAGTGGCAGCAATGGCGACAGCGATAGCAGCAGCAATGTCAACAGCAGCAGTAGCATCAGAACAGCAGCAGCAGCAGCAGCATAAGAGTTGGAAATGGCAACTGCAGCAGCAATGGCAACAACAGAAGCTCGAGTAACAGCAGCAGCACCAGCAACAAAAGAACCAACGGCAACAGGTGAAGCAACATCAGCGGTGGGGACGGCAGGAGCGACATCAAACAGCAGGAACGAACACAGCACTTGCAGAAGTAGCAGCTTCAACAGCAGCAGCAGCAGCAGCAGCAGCAGCAGGCAGACACAACAGCATCAACAAAAGCGGCAGTGCTAACAGCAACAACAAAGTGCAGCACCAGCACAGCAGGCATGTAAGGGAAGCTGCAGCACTGTCTGGGACCCTTTGATTTGACGTGAATTGAGCAGATAGTAACAACCCGAAGTCTTTCGTTGCGTGGCAACGTGGCTGCTACAAGGAGCTTCCCTGGATTACGGTAAAAGCCAAGCTGCTATTTTCTGGGCACCCCTCGTGCCACTTTTGCCATGTCGGGCTTGTCTTGACATCCGATGAAAGGAAGCAACAGCACCAGCAAATGTCTGCTTCTTTGGCTGGTCAATGCTTGAGTGTTAGATCTGCAACCGGGGCGGTAAGGTGCTGATATGTGTGAAACAGATCCTATTTGGGTTTTGAGAAGCAGAAGCTTTTGTATAGAAGAGCCCTAATGACACATGCAGGGTATATCAGCCACTCAAGAACCATACCCCAAGGGTTTTAGGAAGAGAAACTCGAACCCACAACTAAGGAATTTATGCTCAGGGTGCAGTATAGATAAAAAAGTTATGTTGGACTTACTGTACGTGGTGCAGTATCAAAACTGCGACTGGAGCTGATTGCGACGTCCCAACCAACAACCTCCCAACCAATCTGGTCACGCTTGGTCATGAAACAAGAGTGGCTGGCTGCTAGCTTCGACCAATCAAGCACCCTTGCTCAGCCCCCCCTCCGAGGCAACCAGCCTAAGCAGCCAGATTCATCCTTTTGGCTTCTCCAGGTCTCCAAGACCTTTGGTTTGGTTTGGTGTTTTGCTTTGGTCGAGTTTTCCGGCAGAGCTATTCAAACCTGATCGGTTGCAACCGAAATCATATTCTTTCACTTGACACCCAAAATTATATATTGAAGTGAGTCTATATATCCTCAGAATTTGGGGCAAACGGGCAATAAAGACCCATAACAGGTTCTTGGCTGACGTGGTGACATTCATGTTTGATAAATACTTGAGAAAAAAACATAGTTTTCATCTTCAGAATTCCCTGGTCTCAACAATTCACCTGAGACGGTTCACGCACTGCTCTGGACCTGAACCACGCAGGGTTCAGGTTTGGTCACAACCATACCTGGTTCTTGCAGAACCAGTGACCGAGCCTTGCTGGTCTCGTAACAAGAGCGGCTCAGACCGGATAAGCCCCTCTTCCAACCAATGGCACAAGCAGGACGGCGTGTCAAGCCAAATCTTCGAGCTTGACCCGAACCGTAATATCCAAACGAACCTCTCACCCAAGCTGGTCTTCGGATTCTGCCCTCATTGAACCAAGCAACGAATTTCCCCACGGATTCCAGCCCCCAGCATCAGAATTCACGAATTCTATAAACTGCGGCCCCAATTCTATTTCCACAACCAGCATTCTGGATCCTCCTACAAGAATCTACTACCTCCTTCCGCTTCGAGTGTTTGAGTTTACCCCCACAGCCAGAATGAGGACTTCCGTTCTCCTCGGCGCGCTTGTTCTGGTCGCCGCTCTCCTCGTCGCTGCTAATGCCGTTCCTGGTAAGGATGATTTTTTTTTTCTCGTGAATTTGTTGAAATCATGCTGTCTCGAATTCATTTCTACATTCTCTATCATCTGACATTAATTTATCGTACGTATTCTCGCAGAGGATGTCTCTGTCATGGAGGAAATCGAGCGCGTCCTGATGGAGGAAACCCCTGGACCGTCGTGCATTGAGAAGTTCAAGACAAGCCGCAAGGCGTGCGTGAGGGATCACAAGACCAAGGACAAGGTCGACAGCTGCATTGCTAAGGCGTACAAGGGCTTTAAGATCTGCAAGTCGAAGAATCCGACGCCCCCGATGCCGCCGATGCCTAAGATGCCGCCGCCGCCCTGCGAGAAGCTGTGCAAGATGCTCTACGATAACTGCAAGATGAACAACAAGGGCAGCTGCGGGATGAAGTACAACAACTGCATTACGAACAACTGCTCTTAAGTGGACGTCGCCGCGCGTTCAAGGCCACGCCAAGGTTGAAATTTACAACATTCTGACGTTACGGGTGGCTGAAGAATGGGTGAATCCTTCTGACATTTCGGAATGTGATGGGGAATAAGGAGTTTGCATAGTAGGGTTGCGTTGTGTGACGTCCCAGGAAAGAGGAGCTTTTATTAGTTGGTTGCGTGTGTGACATACTGAGATGCTGGGTTGATCATGTGTTGTAAGTTCTAAGGGGAATAAATTTTATCGTTGCGTGTTGTCACCACTATGCGACTGACAAAACACTAGACAGATCACACAGATCATAAATTTTATCGTTGCGTGAATTTCCACCTAGAGCTAGACTTTAGGCGACCCCTCCAAACTCGTATTTTATTGATACAATCCTCAAATTGAGTCTGGGCACTCCATATCTCACATCCTGTCATCATAGTTTGCCACAGAGCGCACTTCCATTCCGGAATATAGTAATGTGAAAGATTAAATGAATGTTAGACAACGAATCTAAGCTTGTTTCGGATTGCTATCTTGTTAGCGTAACAGCTAATTAGGTGTACGGCGGGGTGCGAAGGCTGCGTCTGGAACTGGCCCGTGTGTTAGGGCGCATCCTCTCCCTCAATCGATCGTGCAAAATCGACGACGATCGATCCTCCACCGCACTAAACTCCTGCGCTGTTCTGTTTTCAACGTTTTTTAACCCTTTTAAATCGACCGCAGGATCGATCCTGTGCACGATTGATCGAGGGAGGGGATGCGCCCTTACTTCTGTCCCTCCAAATTTCTCCTGACCTCACAACGCCGGTCAAGTACCGTCAAGTATCTAAGCAGCCCTCCAGGTTCGACTTTCAGGTTTGTTCAGTCACCGCACCACAGCGGTATGGCGGTGCGATACACACGATGCCCGGTTGAGCCCCCCGACCTCGGCCTACCCTGTGGGCCTATAAGTGATTCTTGCATTTCGTGGAGGTTTCGTCGATTCGCATTGGGCAAAAAGGGCTTATAAAAAAACTTTGTAACTCACCGTTGACTGTTTGACTGCAGTCTCATCAGTCAGACTTCCGTTTCTGGCTTTCCTATTGGTCGACGTGCTTGTACCGTAGGTGCAACTTCGCGGCAGGAAACCCACGGGTGCAAGGTTTCTGGAATGTGCAAGGCAATTTCGCGTGCAGGGGTTGGGCATCAGCTGTACGTCTTTCTTACCTTGTTCCAGCAAAATATTTGCGGGCACGAGGTTATGAGGGTCAGAATGCTCGATTTAATCAAAGTATTGTGATACATTCAAGAACACAGGTGTATCGATTCGACGCATTCCATGTCCATTTCCACGCTGGACATAGTATGTCCATTTCCACGCAATTTGTCCAAGTTCCCTTCTCTTTCCAGACCTGGTTTCTCCGGCACCACATACCTTCCTAACCAGTCTCGCGGCGTGTCTCATCCCGATTCGCGGAATCGGCACCAGACCGGGGAACGAAGCAGCTTGGACAAATTGCGTAAGGAGGTCGGTTCGCCAAGCCAGAACCATGTCCCTACGCCGAACCAAAATGTCCAAACGAGCCGCAAACCCAAGCTAGCAATCGAAATTCGCTATGGAAGGGGACACTTGCGTTCCTGCACTTCCTCCAGCAAATTTCAGCCCCCAACAGCAGCATTCGCTTAGTATATATTCCAAGCCAAAATCATTTACGACCAGAAAATGCCAGTAGCACAATTCGATCAGCAGTAGCCTAGCATCCTCCTGCTGCCAGTATGAAGACTTCAGCACTACTCTGCGGGATTGTCCTGCTCTCCGCTCTGCTCCTCGCAGCTAACGCCGTCCCTGGTACGTACGATTCGTGAGAACAAGAAATCGTTATATCGTTAGAGAAATAGTGCTCTCTTTTACGATTTTTTTCGCACCACCCTTTTCCAAGGAGTCCTTGCACGCAACGCCGTTTGTGCACAAAATTTCGCCGATTTTTCACGCGTAAAATGATACATTTCGTGTATGTACCTGCAGACCCCGTCTCTTCTCTGAGGAACAGGCGGGTTCTAAGCCACAACGACAACTACGACTCGTCGTGCCTGGGAAAATTCAAGACAAGCCAGTCGAAATGCAGGAGGGATCACAAGTGCTGCGACCATAGCGATTCGTCGTACGACAGTTACAAGTGCACGAGGAAGATTGACAGTTGCGAGGCAAAGGCGTACAAGAAATTCAAGACGTGCAAGTACGGCGACGCGAAGCCTTCTTCTTCATCTAGTAACAGCTGTTATGACTGGTGCAAGTACGTGAAGAAGCAGTGCAAGGACGATGACGATGACGACTGTGACTATAAGTACAAGCGCTGCAAGAACGATTGCTGAATTGGGCATGGATGACGTAGGAAGTGCCTGCATGTGCGGAGTCGCAATGTGATGGTGACTGGGATAAGGCAGTTGGGTGGCATGCAGTGGTGCATTATGTAAGGGTGAGTGGGAATAAAAACTGATTGCTGGGACATCATGAAATTGTGACGTTTTGTGTGTTTGAACGAGGATATAGGGTAAGGTGTGCGTGTGAAATCATGTAATGAGAAGGTTTCTGAAGGGTGCATAAGCATTTCGGAATCTTCTCTAATGTAATGAAACGGCTTATTCTCAACTACAAACATTACTTGAGTAATAAATGCAGTGTACCTGTAAGTACAAATTACGAAACTGGGCATATCGCACCCCCACAGCTAGGATGACAGGCTTCAAGCATCTATCAGCTCCCTTCACGAACCTAGCTTCTTCGAAGCAAGCACGCCACCTCAGCCAGGGGCGAGCCGCCGCCGTCTTTTGAGCGAAAGAGCCAGGTTCGTTCCCGAGTCTCGAGTTTCTCCAGGTCCAGCCTTGGTGGAAGCCTGGGAGGTTGGGGGGAAAGCGAGCAAGAAACCAGATTTGTTTCGGTTTTGTACATCTCAGGCGCGAGATGTACATCTCAGGTGCAAGAAACCTGAGATGAGCAAGCATGAAACCTAGTCAGCTAATTTCAAATTCGGGGAGTTCAGTTTGAAGTTGCAAATGTTGGACTGCGATGCGAGACGCTTACCAAGTCAGCTAATTTCAGAGCAGCTCATGTATGCTTTTCTTGATGGCACAGGCTGAGAGGCAGTCTTTTGTGGCTGAGTGCCTATCTGTACCCTTCACAGCGAACCTAATCAAGAAGCTGAGGCGCATCTGTCGTCGCACAACTTGAAGTCGCAATCGAGTCACCAAATTTTCACCAAATCTTGCCAACACTACTTTACGCGCCTCGGGATAACCTCTCCCGTCGCGATTCTCCTCCTCGCGAATCGCAACCATGATTCGGGACGCGATTCAACGAAATGTGGGGAGATCCAGCCTTTGCTTACGGCGTACGACTATAAATGTGCCCCTAATTTCTTCCCAAAACAGCAGCAACTCTTCTGAGGTTACGCCATTTGACCAACATTCTATCTATCGTCCTCAACAACGCCCCGGTTTCCTGCCACCATGAAGACTTTCGCGCTCCTCTCCGGGTTGGTTCTGCTGTCCGCACTCCTCGCCATAACTTCTGCTGCGGAGGAGAACACAGTTTCTGCGTTCGATGCCACTACAGCTGTGCCTGGTAAGCCTCTCGCGCCGAATTATGCAGGGTTTAGGACGCCAAGCAGTTTCGATCCTGGTAAAGACTATATTCTCTGCTGATTTCGTGATTGTTTATTGAAATGCGTGACGCAGAACATGTTTCTACGTTTTTCATCACCTGACACCTATTTCCTTAAAATTCCGTACTGTGTTCTCACAGAGGATGCCTCTGCGATGGGGGGAAGCAGGCGCTTTCTGACTCATGCTAAAGCCCCGGGCCCGACCTGCATGGAGGAATTCAAGAAAGCAAGCAAGGAGTGCGAGAGGGATCACAAGTGCGCAACGGACGACTGCACAAGCAAGACCGAACGATGCCTCGCCAAGGCGTACAAGCGCTTCAAGGACTGCAAGTTCCCCCCGCCGCCACCGCCAACTTGCAAGGAGTTGTGCAAGATGCTTTACGATCGCTGCAAGGAGTTCAATAGGGGCAGCTGCGGCGGGAAGTACAACAACTGCATTCAGAACAATTGCGATTAGTGGACGTTGCCGCACGTTTGAGACCACGCTGAGGTGGCAACGATAATGTTTTCCGGATTTTGGGAGTGTGGTGGGAAATAAAGATCGAGTTCAAGCAGGGTTGCCTTTTCCGATTGACACGATTTCGGAAGAGCCACCCGGGAAGGGAAGGCGTGTAGTGTTGCGCTCGTGGGAATAAAAATAGAATTCCTGGAAATAAAGTTGGATGGCGTGTCTTTGGTTATCTTATAGTTGGTGTTATTGCTAGAGAGGACCAGGGGCTGCCGATACGTTTGGGGCCAGAACATAGGAGGTTGAGCTGCACCAAAATCCATGAGTTCCGGCCCAACCTAGTTCTTTTGGCGTACGGGTTCAGGTCGAAGTAACAACGTAGAATCAGGGCGAGAAACTTTTGTGTACATACGCACTTCCGACCTGGTTGCACTCTTGATTTGTATGTCTTTTTATAGAAGGCGATTTCATGCTCACACAAAGCCTGGCCAACCATTCCCACAGACGTGGTTCCTCGGGCACCACGGACCCCCCAACCAGCCTCGCGGCATATCGATCGCCTACATCCCAAAAAAGTTTCCCGCAGATTTCTACCCCAAGGTCACATCAGGGTTACCCCGATTTCTACCCCAGGGTCACATCAGATTTCTACCACTAGTAGTGGGGCCCAGACCGAGGTAGTAGATGCTCCTCGGACCAATGGCGCAAGCAGGTCGGCTTCCAAGCCAGAACCGTGGGCCTAAATGTTGAAACGAGCCGCTAACCCAATCTGGCTGTCGAAATTCGCCAGAGATGGACTTGGGCACTCGCATTCCCTCCCACATTTCACCTGCAGGTTCACCACCCCGCAGTAGCATTTGCAGCCATATATTCCACGCCAGAACCACTATTTGATCACCGTTGACCTAGGATTCACCTTTCGCAACTAAGCAGATTTCCGCCCTCCTCTACGGGGTCATCCTGCTCTCCAGTTTGATCTCGCTGCTAACGTCGTCAACCCGCGACGACGAAGGTCGTCAACCGGTGATGACGAAGGTCATCATCCTGCAGAGATGTCAGGGACTTCGTCTGGTTGACCAAGTTACCTGCTCGACGAGTGCGCGAAGGTGTGCGAACGTCGTCGAGGCTGCTGTGGCGAAGTCGACCGACGTGGCAGCACGTGGTCGACGTGGCTCATCATGTGCAACCGTCAGCATGTGGCTGACAACCTGCGCAATGTGTGTGACAGTGCACGTCGTGCATAACTGTCTACAAGCACCTGCGAAGTAGGTGCTTGCACATGCGCTTACAATCACCTGCGGATGCAATGTTGGCAAGCCGCGCGGATGCTGCGTTGGCAAGCCGCGCGGGTGCAGCGTTGGCAGGCCGCATCTGCAGTGTTGGCAAGTCACGTACGAGCTGCGTTGGCAGATCGCGGACTTGCTTCGTTGGCATGTCGACAACTCTGTCACGCTGGCATTCGACATGCCTGAGTACTAGCAAACCTTGCATGTGATGTAGTCAATCTTTGCCATTGCTTGTTATCATTCTGAACTCTGTATTCTCAACTTTCCTTAGTGAAACTCTTGCTGTTTTGCCCTGTGAAAACACAAGTCCTAGAGAACACAGACAGAGCTACGATCACTCCTACAACTCGTGCCAACCCCATAGTCTAGCTCCCACCGTTGTAGAGTTAATCTCCGCATGGTGCGGTGAGCGTGGACGGCCCCGCAAGGATACCTTCAGATAGGAACCGACTGATCACTTACCTAAGTCGTTCGTAGGCCGGCAGCCCGTGCGAACTATGGTGCCTACCCTGGCAGAGGCCGGAGGGGTAGAGGATACTTTAGAAGCACGTCTGGCTGATGCGACGAGACGCCATGGAGAAGGCGAGTTCGGGATGGTGCTACCCTTGGAGGTGGTTCTCCTTGGGATCCGTGCGAAGTGGGCAGCGGAACACCCTCCCCAACCTGGAGCGGACTGTGCGTCCGCCTCTCCTCGACCGGTGCGTAACGACGGTGGCGTCGACGAGGTGGTCGACGGAGGTGATCGAGTCAGTGGCATCGCGGGCACGAGGCAGATTGGAGTGCTCAGGTCCGTCGACGGTGGTGTTGGCGGGAGTCAAGCGCGAGTGCAGCGGTAGATGGCACCTCAACGAAGCAGTGGAAGTCCCTCGTCCACGACGCACGTGACAGCGGGCGGGATTGCGCCGGCGTATGGCTACTTCAAGTTTTCGCCGGACAAGATCACCGTCGCACCTCTGCAAGGTCGACGGGACCTCATCACTTGGAGGGAGTCGATAGAACCTCAGCTGGAGGTCGACGGGCTGAAGGGCTTTGCCGACGGTACTGTGCCAATTCCGCACGAGGACGATGTCGAGCTGCGCGGGGAGTTTCGTGCTGCTCACTTGCTCACCTTCATGGTCATCTCGAGGTGCTGCTCGCCGGTGGTGCAGCTTGCGCTCAGGAGCTGTCGAGAGCGTCTGGATGCTGGTCACCAAGCATGGCACTTCATCCTGTTGACGTACCAGGCGAAGGACGACCTGTACATCGGACAGCTAGAGGAGAAGATGACACATCTTCGGATGGGTGAGAAGGAGTCGGCGACGGACTACTGCAACCGTGCTCGACGGATACTAGCCGAAATGCGGATGGCGGGCTCTGAATACTCTACTGCGTCCTACATCACCCACGTCGTCAAGGGCCTGCCGCGTAGCTACAACCTCATGAAGAGGATGATGATGGTGCCCGGCACGCGGGAGTCACTCGACGAGGACTCAATCACTAGCTACATCCTTCAAGATGAGGCTATGCAGGAGGCAGAGCAGCCCACGGAGCTCCTTCCGCAGGCGAGTTACGTTGCACCGACGAAGCAGAATCGTCCGCAGGGGCAGCGCGGAAAGTCTGGTGGAGGTGGTAGCGGAGGTGGGAGGTCGGCAAAGGACGCCGACCAGGCGAAATCAACTCGTGACAGCGGTCGCGGCAAGGGTGGTCGACGGCGTGAGTGCTGGGTCTGCGGAAGCGCCGACCACCTCTCATATGACTGCCCCGACCGAGAAGACACTGACGACGATGACCACAAGGGAGGCCGCGGAAGTTCGGCCAACGGTCGCCAAAGTCGGGACGAGAAGCCGCGCAAGGAGAAGAAGACGTTGTCGACGAAGGAGGTCGACTCCTCCAGCGGTAAAGGGCAAGGTGACGGAGAAGCTTCATGCTCAATGGTCAGCATGGTGAAGCAGATTGTTTCGCTGGCGCCAGAGGCCGGCGAAGACTTCAAAGCGGTCG